TGATAGCAGGAGTCATCTTGCTGAGCAGCTTCAGGCATTTTTGTGGTCTGATGGATTGTGTGAGGCACTTCATGCTTTCTCTGGTTCCCAAAGGAAGGGTGTGTTTCTGGGGACTTAATTGGTGTTTGTGGTAGCCTTAGCATTCAAAACAATAAAAAAATAGTAATTGGTCATAGAGAATGTTTTCTCAGCCTCCCTTGCCACAACAATATGAGCAAGTATGTTAGCAGGGTCCTCTGGGGATATTTGCTGTCATGTTCTTGTTCTGTGGTTACAGAGATGTCTTTGCTGTCCTTGTTAACTGAAACCATCAGCTGGCTGGAAACTTCTCATATCCCTATCTGTGTCTAAGTGGGCTAAAAAAATCCTGAGAGTGCAGTGTTATTTTAATGCATTCTCCCAGAAGAGTTTTGTCCAGACTATCAAAATACCCCCTTTCCAAATGGGAGCTAGAGGAAAATGAACATCCCCCAAAAAAATCTTCTGGTTATTGTTTCCAGACAATGATTTGTGTCCTCCTTACCCCTGGATGATAGGTCTGTCAAGCATGGTGCTGTCACTCTTCATAATTGGAGTAATCTCAGATCAGAACTCTCCTGGGTCCTGTGGCACTGTGTGACTGCACTGCTGAAGGGAAGCAAGAACAACATCAGGAAGCTAAAGCATTCCAACCCTTTGTAATCACTGTCTCACTTACTTAGATTGAGAGGTTGTACTGTAAACAATAACCAGTGGTAAACAAGGTGAGAGTGTAGTTCTAATCTATTTTTGAAAGCTAGAACATGCCCGGATCAGCCATTATCAGCTGCAGCCTACCCAGTCCTTACTGCTCTCTGCAGGACCATTGCAGTGCTCAAAGGAGTGACAATAAAACAAGAAAACTTCAGGAGAAGCTAAACCAGCTGGGCTGTTTGCAGTGCTGCTGTCAGCTTTGCAGAGATTCTCTGCTGGTGGACCTGAGCCTGTGAGCAGCCTGTGCTGGATTCCAGGGCAAGAACACAAGGAGAACTCCTGTTGAGATTAATATTCTTCTTGATGTTCTGAGTTGGTTGATGGGGCTTTTTTTTTCTAATTCCCCAAAAGCAAAACATTAGAAGGCAATCTTAATTTGCACAGTCTGACCTGTGTATTTCTTCAGCTGATCCAATAACCTTAACTGTTTTATCCAGCATTCTGCATTCCTGTTCTGAGTGCTGTTCCTTCAGCTGTGCTGACACTCCTTGGGCTGTGGAGGTTTCTGTTGCCATCAACCATCATTCCTTTATGGAGCTGTGTACCACTAGAAAAACAAATTGCATTGAGTCACCTGGTTCTATTCACCTGGGCTAGGTTGTTTGCTGGACTAAGGCTTTGCAAGGTGTGGTCTGGTGGAGAGACATGTTTCTAACTGGGAAAGGACATGGAAGATCTGAGATCTGATGAACCTGCCTGTGGAAGGCTCTTTTTACAGCTGTTTGTCTGCTGTTGAGAAGGGCAGATGATAAATGGGGTTAAGCTGGCCCAGTGGTTGATATTCATGGGAATTATTCATCTGTGATTGTTGTGCTGAGGTCATGTGCTGTGTCCCATGCTATGCTGCTGTGCCAAGAGATTTATTTTAATAGAAGCCTTTAAGTAACTGGCATTCTTGCTAATCATGGTGCATCTGCTTCTCTGGGTTCCCTGTTATGAGTAATTTAATGCTATTACTTTAGCTAGAAGGGATCTGTGTCACCATCTGTCCTGAAAAGCTATTGATGGGGCTGTGCAGAACATGGAGTGTCATCAGCAGGAGAGAGGGACTTGGAAAGGGATGACTGGATTTCCTCTTGTAATGCAATGTAAGATGGTTTACTGTGATTGTGAGTTAGATAGCCTGCATATAAAAGCTGTTATCTAGTCTTTGATTTTGCTGGGGACCATTCCTCAGATATTTATAGAGTGGGAAGATAACTGTGTCAGTATTGAGTAGCAATGACCCAGGTAATCTGCTAAATGAAGTCTCTACTTCTCTCTGAGGCTGAAACCTCTGAGACTGACCCTCAAGTGCCTGCACATCAGCACCTCCAGCAGATATTCCTTGGAGAGGACCTGCCACACACTTCTCAAGCCAAATGTTTTCCTAATTGAGGGTTATATTTTAATTGTTGTTTACAGACCACTTCCTTGCAACAAGCCCTCTCAGGCTGTAGCTCAGGCACAGGAGGCATGAAGAGGCTGCATGGCTGCAGAGCAAATTGCTCTTCACTCCCACAAGTGCTTCACTTTCACAGCACCACTTATGCCCAGAGTACCATCCTGGTCTCTCAAGTGCATGTGGCTAAAGTCTTTGTTTTTATTATATGAGAAACATTTTTTCTCTTTGTCTTTCTGACTGGTCAGTAATTGCACTGTTCACCATCTCTCCTGACTCGTGGCCCTTCCTTATTTCACTGCAGCTCATTGTCTTTTCCACAAGCCAACTGCAAAGTGTGAGAGCCTGGAGGGCTGGGAAGCAGCTTTGTGTGGGTTTATCCTGGGGAGTTTCTCTTTGATCATGCTATCCTTCCCAGCACTGTGGTGTGTTATGAGTGTAAATTTGACCTGACTCAAAAGTCCTGGCTCTGAAGATAGTTTGGGATCTAATCTTTGATTTTTGTTTTTTTGCAAGCAGAGCTACAGCTCTTATTTCACAGTCACGTTCTTGCTGCCCTTGTCATATCTTAGGTAGATAAGTGACAAGTAGGAGGGCTGTGAAGGGCCAAAAGTTGCTTAAGGTTTGTAACTGTCTGACAAAGGCTGTGGGCTGGAGTTGGTCATCTGGAAAGGCTGGAGGAGGAAGCATACCCTGCTGCAGCTGCATAGAAGTGAATAAAATATTCAGAAGTGGGATGTGAACTGACTTTCACAGAGAGTCTCAGTGAACTTGGTTTTTCCTTCCTTCCTTCTCTCACAGTGACACTGTGTCATGTCACCCTCACATCTCCTACCCATCAGAGCATCACCAGTTCCAGGTTGTGTGGAGAAGCTGCTGCTGGAATTATTCATGTACAGCAAAAATTGACCAGCATTGTGTGTTCTCCAGGGTTCCAGCTGTAGGCTGAGAGCCAGGCAGTTCATCTCCATGCAGAGAAGTTTTTGTTAAAACTGGCTGAACAAGGAAAAGTGAAATGGGGAATGGTGATGTTGATGAGTAAAACCCCTCAGTGGATTTTGGTCCCAAATGAGGACTTGCAGAATTGACTGGAATTGCTGTAACTGTGCAGTCTAGAAGGGAGGTCTGAATAAGTTGGCATGAAGAAAACTCATTTTCCCTCTGCTTATGATTTCCATGTGCTTCTGCCATATAATAAGACTCTAAATCTCTATAATTTGTGTCAACAGTTCAGAGCAGATGCTGTGCAGTTATTCTGTCTGACACTTTCACTGTGCTGGCTGGGTTACTGCCTTTTCTGAGACCTTTGAATTAACCAGATTTTGGGGTCATCAAGATTATTTAATGTTATTGTCATAAATATTTGTACAGGACTTGGTCAGTGCTTGTATAAGAACTGAAAGACAGTAGTTTGTTAGAAGAGGATGTGTGCTTTAATGAGCTGCCAGCTGAGTGTTAGAAATAAACTGTAAAAAGGTACTTTTTCTGTTTTGTTTTTTTTTTTATTGCAGCTTGTGGGGCAGGAAAAAGTGATTATTTAGATTCTCAGTTATTTAGGTTTGTCAGTTACAGCTGTTTAAATTTAAAATCACTTGAGAGCTCTTTATAAACAGGACTATTTACTTCTGAACAGCTCTGTTGGCTTAACATCCTGTCCTCAAAAGATAAGAAGTTGATCTCTTGCATCTTATTAATACTTTTCTGTTAAACCATGTTATCCTTTGAATTGTTTGTATGCCAAAAATGAGGAGTTGTTATTGTGCTATATTTCACAGTTGATTCTTGGTATAAAATTCCTTTTTACCCCCTTAATTTCCAAAGTACTGTGCTCTCAAATGCAAACAATAATCTCAAAATGCTAACAGAATGAATCTGTTGTTTGGAAATGATGAAGGTTATACATGATCCAATCTGCTGAAATGTGTGAGAAATTAATAAATATTTGGTTTCTCTCTAGCTCATCTTAGAAGCACTGAAATTAGTATTTTTTTATTGAGGGAATTTTTGCCAGGTTTCTTACTGAAGGACTGTCCTACAAATAAGCCAAAATGCAGAGGCTGCCAGGGGGTGCAGTGATCATTCTGGCAAAACAACTTGGGTTGTTTCTTCTAAATATCTTAATTAGCAGAGCAAAGTCTCCAAGCTGTTCTTGGAGAGCTGCTTCTGGGCCAGATCACAGGCAACAAACCCCCAAATCCTGTGGGTGTAGGTCACAGAATAGTCTTTATCACTGTGATCGTGGAATCATTGAGGTTGGAAAAGACCTCTCAGATCATCAAGTCCAACCTGTGCCTGATTCCCAGTTTGTCAACTCAGCTGAGTGCCACATGCAGTCGTTTCTTCAATGCCTCCAGGGGTGGTGGCTCCAGTGCCTGACCACTCTTCCAGTCAGGAAATTCTTCCTGGTGTCCAGCCTGGGATGCTCTGCACCATGAGTGTGTGTGATTCCTGCTGCTGACACATCACCATAGGATGATGCCAGGTTGCACAAACTCCCCTTGGCTGTGTTGTCTGCTGATGCAAAAGGTTTTTGTGCTGTTGGGTTATAACTGGAGCCAAGGGTTGGGGTGGGATGTGTTACCTGTTCCAGGAACAGGAATTGAGGTGTCATTACATCTCCATTCAAACTGAGCAGCCAAATGGAAATTGTCACAGAGTCTCGAATAAACCAAATCTCTGTGTTGGCCAGATGAGTCTCTAAGTTTTGCCTTTATAAACTCTAGGTTTGGTAATCTTGGTGCTAGGGTTCTGCTAAAGCTCTGCCATGCTCAAAAGGAGTCCTGGAAAACATCCCCAGTGTGCAGCAGCTTTGAGATCCTGGTCTGTGTACGATACCCTGGAAAATGAACATTTTTGTGATGCATTTGTGATCTATTTTCCCTTTCAGAAAAAGAGCAGAGAGGAGACATGTGGGGAAGGCAGTGGAGTGGAGATCCTGGAGAACAGGCCCTACGTGGATGGCCCGGGGGGCAGTGGGCAGTACACTCACAAGGTTTATCACATCGGGATGCACATCCCCAGCTGGTTCCGCTCCATCCTGCCCAAGGCAGCTCTGCGCGTCGAGGAGGAATCCTGGAACGCTTATCCTTACACAAGGACCAGGTAAAACTGGGCAAAGTGTCCACAGCTGGTCGGTGTTAAAGACAGGGTTTGATGTCACTCTGGCAGTGCCATTTCCCTCTCCAGTAATATCCTTCAGAGCAATCAGGGTCAAGTCCTAAAATTCCTGTGCAGTGCTTGATCTTTGCCTGGGCTGGCTGCACACCTACCTGAGAATTTGTGGCTCCTCGCTGTAAAATGTGGAGCTGATTTGTCTGTCAAAGCTTGGGGAATTGTGAATGGTTTTTATTTAGTCTTGTATCCTGCATTGTTCTTCTTAACATTGCAGATCTCTGCAAGCTCAGGGAAATTACAAATGTGCATGGTGCTGGGACAGATGTCATGCTGAATCCTGTCAGGGAAGACAGGATGCATTTGTACAGGGGAAAGAAAAATCTTAATAAATAAATAAATAACTACAGCACTTCTTTTCTGGGAACTGTCTGTCATTTAACTAGAAAATAACAAACCTACAAGCCATGGTTTTCACCCTGAGGAGGGAAGAGAGCCACAGGCTCTGTGGAGCCCTCTGGGACCTCCTTGTTTCATCTGATTTTGTCAGGGAGGATTTCAGATACCCTGGAATAAATAACCATTGTGCCTGTTACTTCAGTTTAGAGCATTTGCTCTTTTCCAGATTTACAAATCTGATATTCCTGTCATCTTGCACAGTAAAATGGCCTTAATGGGTATTTTGGTTTTTATGAAAAATCTAAGAAAATTTCCTGGTTCTGTTTTAACTGGTCTCTGCAAGTAACATCAATCTTGGTGAGGTGGGGAGTCGGTGTTTGCATATGGGCTGTTGCCAGTGACTGAATATAATGGAACTGCCTGACTTTTAAGTGATTAAAGTTCACTTCCAGTCAGTTTTTATCTCTTCTCTTGAAATGCCTATGAGTCAATCAGTTGGCCAGGAAACCTGTGCTGCACAGAACTAGTTCATATTTTATTCTGCTGCAGGTTCCAGGCAGGAGCTTTGCTTTTCTCCTTGCACAGGTGCATTTCCAGAGTGTCCTTGTATTAATATCTGTGTCACAACGTTTTAATATAGTGGGTCCAAAATTTATTTCCTTGCTGAAAACTGATGAGCTCCTATCTTAAGAAGTTATTAAAGAACAATCTCCAGTTGGTATTTCAAGCATATCTGAAGGAAAACATGAGTGAAGGCTGCCTGGGATTTGAGGCTGATTTACTCTAAGCTGTGTTGTTCTGGCTCTCAGGTACACGTGTCCTTTTGTGGAGAAATTCTCTATTGATATTGAGACGTACTACAAAACTGACCCAGGAGACCATAACAACGTGTTCAACCTTTCTGCTGCAGAAAAAAGACAAACCATTTTAGGTGAATAGCCTTTTTCCTCTATTTTTTCCTGTTTTGTCTTTTTCTTGGTGTGTTCATCTGTCTTTCCATCCTCCCTGAAAAGACACCTGCACCCCTGTCAGTGTCACTGAAGGTTACAACAAGTAGGGTGAGGGCACCAGAATTGTCTTCGAGGCTTGATATAAATCTCGTGGAAATAATTTGAATCCCCCATCTGTAAATTTAAGCTTTTCCATCTTATTTATGCAGCTCCCGAGAGGAGTAAGACATCTCATGAATTTGGGGGTAATTTTCCTTTCCATAGCAGAGGAAAAAACAGCTGTATAATTGTGAAAATATTGCTGTTTATTTGTGTGGCTCCTTCATGTATATGAAAATGAAGCATGAAGGTGCATTTAATTTTTGTTCCCTCTCCTTTTAGAACTGCCCTCATGCAGGTTAACACTCACTTCACAGCTGTCTTCAGAAGATTGAGTTAATGTAAGGAATTAATGAGAAAAGGCAAAAGTATTTCAAAAAAGTACTTTTGTGTTTCACTTCAACTGTCCTCATTGCTGGGCCTGTCTGACCAGGCTTTCAGTGGTGAGCAGACTCGAGTCTCACCACTGCACTGAGAGGTGTCACAGAGCTGTCACTTCTTGGGAAGTGTGATCCTGCCCTTCAATCCAAACTTCAGATGCTTCTGCTGAGCTCTGGGGGTTGCAGGTCTTTAAAATACATTCATTCACTCCACTCCTGCTGCAGTTCCCACTTCTCCATTGTTGGATTGTTAATTAGGACTTTAGTTAAACTTTCTGCTTTCCACAGTACATGTGGTCTGACAATAGCAGATGAGGAGTTCCCAGTCCTCTCCTCTGATGAACCCAAAGATGAGATGTTCCATGAGTAATTCTATTCCATAGCAGGGCAGGTGTGTTTAACTGTCTTGGCTGAGACAGCTGCAGTGCTGGGAGTGATATTAGAAAATCTGGAAGGTGAAATGTGCAACAGATCTGTGTGGAGCTGGAAAGACAGAGTGTGCAGAGCTGCCAGAGTGCTGTGGATCTGCAGTTACTGTGGGCAAAAACATCTATTTGGAGCAAAGCCTCTGTTTGCTGGAACTGTGTGTGCTCATTCCTCTGGCAGAGCTGATCTCTGCCCAGCAGCAGTGTATAAACAATTTAAATATCAGTTGTTTAAGTGTAAGTAAAAAGAAACTAAATTGCTGTAATGCTTCTGGTACTTACTAAAACAGAAATAACTCATGAAAAATGACATTTTCTTGTTTTGCTCAGGAAAAGGAAATGTCTAACTATTTTTTTTTCTCTTTCTATAGATCCTATTGATATTGTTAAAGATCCTATCCCTCTCCATGAGTACAAAGCTGAGGAGGATCCAAAGCTGTATAAATCAGTGAAGACTAAAAGAGGGCCCCTCTCAGAAGATTGGATTCAAGAGTACAAGAACAACCCTGGGAAATACCCCATCATGTGTGCATATAAACTGTGTAAAGTGGAGTTCAGATACTGGGGGATGCAGTCGAAAATCGAGCGCTTTATCCACGATGTTGGTGAGCATTTATGGTCTTGCAGAGTTCCCTCCTTAATGTTTGCACTGAATTGAAACATGAAGGTGAGGTCTGTGCAGTGCATCACATCCCAAAATGTGTCTGTGAAGAGATTCTCAAACCTGATGACTCTGTGGGTCAGCTCAGAAGGAAAACTTGTTATTCTGTCACTTATAATCGTGGTATGTACAAATATAAACCACTTGTACCCACTGAAAAGGTTTCAAGTCCTGTGTAGGCAAGATCTTGCATTCTCCTTTATTTATTATTTATTTTTTTAAGGATAAACTTGCCAGATCATTTTTAAACTCTGTCAGTCTTCTTTATTGTGACCAAAATCCATCCTGAAGGGCTGCCTAAAGAAATAAGCTTCACTTCAGTGTCCTGAGTGGTTCCAGAAAATCACTCCCTGGAACATCCCTAGTTTCTACCTGCCTTGTGACAGGGCTGCTGGGTCTCTGTGTGGCTCTGAGTTGTGACTAAATGTCCTTCTTTGATGGATGCATCATTCTTAGGTCAGGTCTTTTAAGGAGGAATTGGATGTGTCTGGGAGTAACTAAGTGGAGACAGTACAGGTGGTGGCAGTGCTGGCAGTAATTTGTTCCTTGCAGAAAATCTATAAAACACATGATACAATTTCTGAGCCTTGCCACAAATGACGAGTGGAAAACTTAAATGATGTTTTAAAGGAGCACTCCCATCTGAAAGGGCAGAGCTCTGGCTGTCCTCTTGCAAAGAAAATGCCAAAAAAAGGCTGTGTAGAGGATGCTGTCACCTTCCTGTGCACTGAAAATCCTCCTGCATGACCTCTACAACTCTGCTTTTGATGTGCAAGTCTTCATGAAGTACTTGATTCTAGCATAAGTAATTTTCAAGCTCTTTGCAGTCACACCGTGCTCCTGAGAGCCAGTGTGAAAAAGACTGATAGAGCAGTGGAGAATAGTGTGCACCTCTCTCTGAATGCTCACGGGTGGTTTTCTTACAGCTCCTTTGCTTTTCTTTAGGCGGGGATGGAAGTTTTTCCTGCTGTAGACTGTGTTACAAGTGCCTCTCTGCACTGAACTCCCTTGGCGTTTCAGTGACACGGGTTAATTTAGTGTATGCTGGAAAACACAGAGGCAGAATAACAACTCCATTGTATCTTTTAAATGAGAAAGGAGCACGTGACTCTTCCAGTTGTTCAGAGGTGTTTGGCATAGATTAACTTGGTCCCTTAGAAATATTGCTTTTGTATTCCCTGAAAGATTGCCTGCCATTTCCCTCTTGATTGAGGCTTTGCAGAGAGCAGAACCAGCTCATTGTCTGCTTTTCAAAAGCTTTTCCAGCCTGTTATAAAGATGGCAAATAGTGTTTTTCAAAGTGGTTAAGTTGCATAAAATCAGGAAAGTCTTTCAGGCAAGACAGTCGAGTGAATTAAAAGTGAAAGTAAAAGCTTGGGGTATCTGCAGGGGCTGTGTGGCCTCCCCCTGCCCTGGGGATAGCCGTGGGGAAACCCTGAGTGGGCAAAGTGCCACAGCATTTGTACCAAAGCCTGCAATGTGTGAGGATGTTTCAGTTGGAAAGGTGTGGTTACAACACGGCTGACCAGGATTAGATGGAGATCCCTGCGTGGGGCTTCCAGATGGTGGCCAAAGGCAGATGGAGACCTTTGTGCATTGTGCAGTGATGGTGAGTCAAGCTCCCAAGAGCTAGAGATGTTGTGGTGGGTCAGCCCCTTCTTCCTTGGCATTTTCCTCCTGATTCCTCTGTTCCCAACTCAAGCAAATTTATTTCTTGGGGAATTAGCTCACCCTGTTGAGGGTCACCAAGCCAGTGAGGAAACAAACAGCAGGATTCAAACTCTGCCCAGTGGGGAGCTTAGTGGAGTGAACTAAAATGAGAGAATGGGTTGAGGTAAGTGATGGATGTCTTGGTGATGTGGAAGGGCTGCTGAGCACAGAGGGAGGAACTCTGGGGGACGGTGTTGAAACGTTCTCACTCGTACTGAGTGCAGCAGCCATTCTTTCCCATGACTAATTGGACAGTTACTCAGTGCTTTGACAGCCTGAGACATAGACTAAAATTGTGATTGTGGGCTATTAGTCTACTTGGCTGTAATATTTGTATGCTTTTTTACTCCTTTCCCATAGATCTTAAGTTTAATTGGACTGGCACTGCATAATGTTCTGCTCCCACTTGCTTCCTAATGGTGCATGTGGGCTCTGAGTCTTTTGTTGTTAAACAAGTGTGTTGACTGTGTATGGGCTATTAATTATATACTGTGGCAAAGTGTGTTCCATCCCAGTAACTGGAGCTTTGTCTAAGCCACTGTGTCCTAGGCTAAATATGCCCAAATTGCTGCACAGTGGTGAAGTGGTTTTTGAAAGCTCTTTTGCAGAACTTTGGCTTCACTAAAGCACTCAAATGACTCAGTTCATCCACTGCCCACTGGATCCCAAAGGTAGAGTTTTGTCTTTCCAAGAGGAGGCAGATTGCTGTTGGTGTGATGTGACCAGGGGCTTTTCTTTGAGAGGGTTCTGAGCAAGGGAGGGAGGGGAGTAGAGGTGTAACTGCAGGTGGATTGGTTGGATTGTGCTGACAAGGTTATGGGATCTCTTGGGACTGTCAGGAAATAGTGTTGCACATGGACAGTCAGGCATCCTGTATTTGCTGTCAGGAAATTGTGACAGTGGATTATAAAATTATTTGGGAAGTTGCTTCTGGATACAGAGTCAATGGGTATCTGAACAGTTGCTTCATTTGGATATTGAGGGTATTTGGGGCAGAATTTGTTGGTGGGTTTTCGAATTTATTTCCATTAGGTTCCTATTACGTTTACTATTTTCATTTCATGTTGAAGATCAAGCCCAGAACTACAGACCAAAGCTTTTTAAATTCACATGAAACGTGCTCTCTGCCCCTTGTCTAATGGTCATTTACACTTCCTTTTGTATGATGGAGTCCAGCACCACAAATCATTTACAGGAGTCAGCACCTCATGAGTTCAACCAGCCTCTGAGTTGTTGAGGTGGTGAGCTGGAAACCAAATGATTTAAATGTTTGCACCCTGCTCAGCTCTTCACAGATGATCTTTCTGCACAGCACAGTGGGAAATGTTACAATAATTAAATCAACACATGATGACGGGTGCTCTGAACTCAGCCTGCACATTTGTGCGTGTGTGATGTTATTGTTTGTTTTTTTAAGCAAAGCATTGCACTCTGGAGAAATGATGGTCTGCTTAAAAACTGATAACCAGCTGAGCCTACAACCTTGTCAAAAAACCTCTTGCCATTTTTTTCTGGGTGACTTCAGTGAGGTGCCTGATGAGTCTGGGGGTTTTCCTCTGCTTCTGGGGAAGAAGGCTCAGATAAGCTTGGGGCATGTTGGTGGAGGGGGAAAGCCTGCAGGCAAGGCACACTTCCAGCTGTGCTGCAGCTGGGGCTGGGTGTGATAAGGACTTCTCTGGCTAAGCAGGACACATTTACACCTTCTCTCCTTCCAGGGAGAAAAAGGAAAGCCAGCTAGCCCACAGATTCCCTCATCACTCTTCTGATGGGCATCTGCTACAAAGAGAGTTTTTCCCAATTACATTCTTTCCTGTGTCTGGTGTCTCCCCTCCTTTTCACTTTCCAATAAAAAACTTGTTTTTCTCTACGATTTTGGTACAAAAATGCTTTGAGATTTTTTATTTTTTTTTTCTTCATTGCACAAGGAGAGCAGCAGTGTCTGGACTGGGGAGGTCAGTCATTCGTAGCTGGATCCTGGCTCCCTGTGGCTGTGTGGGACACTTGTTGTGTTCCCTGGGTCTCTGCTGGGAGGCTGCAGGCTGGGCAGGAATTCAGTGCCCACTGCTGTGCACAGAGGAGCCCCTCAAATTCTCTTCCCTACCACTGAAACCTTTTCTGTAAGCCATGACTTTTATTTTTCCATTTCTTTTGTACCTTCACAGCCTCATTCTCCCCCAGGTTTTCTCCTTGTGTTTAAGAAAAAGAAATGCAGCACTGCTGGCACATCCCGGGTGAAGGCCAAATGCTGGGAAAGTAATCTGTTTTTTGGACTTCTTAACTAACCTGGAGGGGTAGAGGCACAGCAGCTGTGAAGCCCTGCAGTGCCATCCTATTTTCAAAGCAGCAAAGCTTTAAGGAAGGGTGGTTTGGGATGTCTAATCAAAGGGAAGTGAGAAGGGCACATGGGGAGGTCTGCGGGTTGGCAGGAAGCAGTGCAGGTGATTTTTGAGATCTAAGAAGGCAGAGAGGAACTTCAAGAGACTTTTTTTACCCCCAAGTGGTTTTCATGTTCCCTGTGATGTTAGTCCATTAAAACACAGATACGTGGCTGGTGGCATCTATGACTCTACACAGAGAATTTCTGAGGAGTTGGGGCACTGATACATCAAGGCTGGATTCGGGAGCAGGAGTGGAGCCTGCTGAGCCCTTGAACGGGAGAAGCTGTGGGATAAAAGCAACATTCACTTCTGTATCTGATCACAGTCTGTTTTCAAGGTGTTCCAAGCAAGGTAGAAGTGGACACCGGGTGTGGAAGTCCTAAGGATGGTGAGGTATTGGGGACAGCAAGAGAAATGTTTTCTTGGCTTTCCGTGTGGGTGTGATGCGAACTTAATCTTGTTTTTTAAGCCCTGTTGGTTGTCAATCATAACAGGAGGTGAAGAGGCTAAAACATTCTCCTGTAGTTCTGCAAAAAGTAATCTGGCAGGGGAAATAACTCTGAATCTCGACTTAGGTTGAATGGAATTAAGGTGCTGAAGGCTGTCATTGTGCCCTCAGAAGGTCACACTCTGCTGGCTCAAACTTACCTCTCCCTTCTGAAAGTCAGTTCAGCAAAATGCATCAAATATTGATGGATTTAATCTGACTGTGTAAATGAAGTTCGGGTTGAGCTGGTCCATGGCATTAGCTGCTGATCTCAGTGGCCATTTCCTCCTGACAGCCTGCCTTGGCATGACTGGTGGCATTAAGGACTGACCAAAGAGCAGAATAAGGTGCTCAGACCTGGAAGGAGATAAACATATAAAAATATGCTTTTGCGTGTTTAAGAAACCAAATAAACAAAAAGTGATTGCTGAAAACAAAGTGGATCTTTCAGCTGAAATCACAGAAACTGCAGTGGGATCTAAGGTTTTCTGTACAACAGGGAAGCCTGTGTTGCTGGGAGCACCTTAGACCCCCTGCACATGGTGGGACCATCCCCTTTGGCCATACTCCTGGAGCTGGAGAGTGGCTTATGAGGGATGTCTTTGCTCATGGTGGTGCTTAGAGAGCTCAATCTGCAGTTCCCAAAATCTAAATGATTCTAATTTAGCCTGTTGATTGCTCCCTTAATCCCACTGACAGCAAACCCCACTGGTGCTTTTGGCTTGTCCTTCAACCCATCTCTGCCTCAGTTTCCTAGTAATTAAAGAGGGGGCAATGTCAATTGATTGTTTATTATCAGAAAAATTCCTGAAGATCAGTTGGTCAGTATTTACAGAAGCTTTAAAAGCATCATTACTGCTGTGTGATCCTATCAGGAATAAATAGCAGTTTGGAGTTTTGACCTATTGTGAGCTTTTAAGGAATAATATTGGTGAAAATCCTGAGTGACTCCTGTTTTAAAGTCTTGGGGATGTGATGATGTTAGTGAGTGAGTCTAAGTCTTGAGGAGAGTATCTGTTGCCTGGTCAGGTTCATTGTATTGATACTGAGGCTGTTCTTCCTTTCAGATATGTGATATGTTGAAATATTTTAAATTGGCTTTACCCACTCCATTTTTCTCCTGCAGCAGAAGACAGATGGTATCTGCAAAATAAAGCATCTTTATTCCCTCCCTTACTTTGCTTTCTATCCCATTATCTCAGAAGCTCCCATTTGTGATGCTGCTTTACTGATACATAGAAACCAGGTGCAGAAAAGGGGTTTCCAAGGAAAGGAAAGGTGTGGGATGTGCTTCTGTAATATAACAACTGGGGAGGGCTGTGGAGCATTCATCAAGGAATGACTTGAAACTCTCCAGGATTAAGAAAAAAAAAAAATCAGTAGCTGTTGTTGTTTTGTTTTCTTTTGTTTTTTAATTCCTGGTAATATATTTTACTTTGAAGATGAGATCCAAATGTTACAACTTCCTAGAATTTCAAGGAGTTGAAACTGTGGTCTCTGTGTGGCTCCTCCTTGGTGAAACAGGCAGCCAAAGTCTTCCATCCAAAATGAGGAAATGCCTTTCTGAGTTAAAAGCAGTGACAGAAGACTGGCTGATTTTAGTGCATGGTTGATTAGGAAGAATTGAGGAGATAAAGCACATGAAGTGACCAGTTTGCCACCCTGACTGTGTGAAGGTCCAGCACTGCTGGTTGATGTCACCGTAGTGTCCCTGCCATGGTGTTAGGGGCTTTGGGAGGGGCACACGTTGTTTCCTGCAGTTTGTGCTCTGGTGACAGGGACATTTTGGCTTTGCAGGCCTGCGGAAGGTCATGGTCCGGGCCCACCGCCAGGCCTGGTGCTGGCAGGACGAGTGGTACGGGCTCACCATTGAGGACATCCGGCAGCTGGAGAAGGAGGCCCAGCTGATGCTGGCCCAGAAGATGGCCCAGTTCTGTGGTGAGAATGACTCAGAGCAGCACGGTGTCAAGGACACTCCTGGGGAAAAGGACGTGGAGCCCAGCACGGGGTCACCTGCCGACACCGAGGACGCCTCTGCGAACAGCGACGCGGCCTCCGGCAGGTCCCTCACCAAGCAATGGTCCACCTCCTCCAAGTCCTCACGCTCTTCAAAGAGAGGAGGTAAGATGCTGCCAATGACTGGCTCTTCTCAACTCATGGAGCTTGGGCTTTTGGGAGCTTGGACCATGTCTCCTTGTGGCAGGTGCCTTTGGGACAATGTGTATTAGTCCTATGAGTCCTGTTAGCTCCTGTTAGCTCTGCTGGTGCTGCAGGCTCCGTCTTCTCAGGTGACCTGGTTTGGGTTTGGGAAGGTTTCTAATCATCCCATAACTCTGACTCAGTGTCCCGTGGCAGAGTTGTTGCCAATGTCAAAAGCACAGAACCTGTAAAAACACCTTAGAGGAGCAGGCAGGAGCTGGCTGGCAGCCCTGGGGCTCAAAAGACAGCCAGCAGCACAGAGTTAGTCCTTGTCACCCAGGAGCCACTGGTGGCTTTCCAAGGCTCTTCCATGGTGTCCCCTTCTGGATATCTGCTTATCCTTGATACCTGTGTCACAGCAGGTACCTGTGCTCCTTGGCCAGGGTTCTGTTCCACCACGTGCCTGTGAGTGTTTGGCTCCATGGGGCTGCACACAGTGAAACATCTCATCAGCTACTGGGGAAATCAATCAAGGCAGGAATCCCCAAAGGTGCCTGCTGGGACTGCTGCCTTCCCCTGGTGATGATGTGCAGTAACTGTTTGGATGCAAAACCTCACCTTGGGATTATGTGGGATTGTACATTTCCTTTTAAACACGATTCAGGAAGCTTTCAGGATTTTGATGTGAAGGCTCTGCTGTGGATTCCCTGTAAGGACTCAGCTTTGAGTCTTGGATTTTGTTACTCACCTCTCCCTCGCTTGAGGCTCACCTCGTTTTGCTGTGCTTCCCTTCTTTGGACCATTCTGTACAAAGGGGTGAATCCCTGGTGAGTTACAGCCACAAGGTTCAAAACCTCAGCAATTCCCTCTCTGTTTAACCAAGTGCTGCTGGTAGAGAAATAGCAGCTCTCACTGCAAGAGGGAAAAAAAATCATGAAAACCCCAAGGGGCAGCATTTCTTCCAGTGATGGTGGAAGGGAACATCTGGGTGAGTGAAGCTTCTCCATCTATCATATGCACTAAATATCGGGAGTTGAGTCTCCATTTTTATTTCCCACTCCATCACTGATTTCATCGTGGGGTGAATGAGAGAGGAGCAGTAGTTTTACCTTGCGATGACTCACTCGAGTGAGCCCCAGGGAAGAACCTACCAGATGCTTCATAAATCACTGCATAAAGATAAAAATACTGGCTACTTTGCCTGCACCAGGATTTTATATTGATGCACCCATCTCCCATTATGCTCTTTGCACAAACCCCCTCTTCCACTGCTGACATGTTCACTGGGAGCTGGAGTTTTCAGACTTCTCCGGATTTCACTTGAAGGTTTTCACTGGGAGCAAAGCATGAATTTCTTTTCAACTGCAGAATGTCTCAGCTTTTACAAGGAAAAGTAATGAAAGAAATTAATTGTGATGTGCTGGGAAGTACGTCACACAGATATTTTAATCCTCCTTCATGCTGGCAGCACATTACCATATGGAAGCAAGGAGGGCTGTCGCGACGCACCGCCACCTCCAGCTGAAAAAAATGCCTTTTCTCCAAAAGATTTCCTTTTCTCCACCCGATTGAGACCTCTGGTGATGGCAGGACCCTTGTCGCCCTCCCATATGTTGTTAGGTGCTCTATTTTTAGCAACAATTATGCGAGTCCTTGACGTCACTCCAGCTGAATTAGCTCTGCTCCGCCACCTCCTCGCTGGCTGCTCCCGAGGGGTGGGCGCTGGGCTGCTGGGGGTGCTGAGCTGCAATTACATGACTCTGCACAGGGTCTCCATCCTCGTTCCATGTGACAGCCGGGTGGGAGATCAGAAGAATTTTACTTTTATATTCAACTCTGTTGGAACAATAGCACAAAACGGCTCGTGCGGCTGTCACAGTAACCGGAGCCTTTCAGGCTCTTGTATATGCTAGATGAGAACTTGTCAGTCTCAGGTTTTTGCTGGGTTAGGTGGCTGCTGTGAGTGCTTTGTGTGCTCTGTGTGACACGCACGAGGGGACAAACCCTCTCTCCCATTGCTCTCTGGACAGCGCTCCCTTCAGCAGGCGGCTGTTCTGAGACAGCTTCAGCAGAGAAGAGCTCAGGCTGGATGGTTGCTAAATTATATCTGAAAAAAAGAAAAGAAGAAGCCATAATGTGTTTATATTTAGCTCAGAGGACTCTGGATGGGAAAGTGAAAGGGAGCAGGTAGGTGAGAGAACAGGAGGGCAAACAGCACTAAAAGGACTTCGGGGTTTCTCCTTGCTCTGTCAGGACTGCCGCTCCCTTTGAAGTTGTCGGACAGCATGTTGTTTAAATCATTCAAGTTTAAAGTTTAAATAGATCTCTAATCCAATTTGTGTGGAAGCAATTTCCTTCCAGAAAACAGATTATTCCTCTCCAGACTGCTCTGCTCAGCTACCCACCCAAAAGTTAGCGAAGCAGAGGCATGGCTTGTGTGCTGATGAGAGACACAGAGAGAGCTTCCAATCAGCCTGCTTCCTTCCTAATTGCAAACTTTAAAACCCAGCTGATTTTGCACGTCCTACTAACAATTATAAATAGCTGCCATTCAAAATAGCAGAAGAGTGATCCAAGCAGCTTTGCTTTAATGTAGCATCTTGCTGGCAGGTTCTACCAACAGTAAACAAACAGGATCTGTAAAGCGGTACACTGACATCACACCAGCATCATCGGGGTTTTGTGTTTTTTAATATTGCAGCAGTGAATTTTCTTAGAGAGCACATGATTCTTCCTCCAGCAAAGATCATGTTGGGAACTCTCCGTCTTGTCGATGTAGCGTTTCGCATAAAGCGTTTCTGTTTTTTCCAGCAAGTCCCTCGCGCCATAGTATCTCCGAGTGGAGGATGCAGAGCATTGCCAGGGATTCAGATGACAGCTCAGATGATGAATTCTTTGATGCACATGGTATGTGGAGCCTAAATCACCATCGTTTCTTCCCTGAAATGGTGGGGTAAGAGAACGGAAGGCATGAAGGGCGGGGGGTGAGCAGGGAAGGAAGCGAGACTTTTTTGCTTTGAAGTCTTTTCCTTTCTAACCATGACGTGCAGCTTTGGTGCAGCTTCTTCCAGCATCACCCAGCAGACTCTTACATTAATGCAGCACCATTTCAGGTGCAGTCTTAGCTGTTTCAGGGGATCTTGAACAGTCTTAGCCCTAGGGGCTGTATTTTATTTGGTGCAAATGAGTGTGTGCGTGAAATCCAGCAGTACTAACTGAGCTGTGGGTGTGTCCTAATGATTCACTGTGACTGATTATTTTTCTAATTTGTTTTTTAATCAGTAAGAGGTATGATTAATTGTATTGTCTGGGCCTGAAGAGACCCAAATTTGCCTTTATTAACTCCTCATTCTCCTATTCCAAGAAATACAACAGCGAATGCAGCAAGGTACTTCAGGTGCCAAAATTAATCAGTGTTGATTCCAGAATTCTCGAAGTAATTTTGATTATCTGTATTAAGAGAACACTGTTACATTTTTTTCCTCTGTGCATGTGTGTGTGAAGAAGCTTTGTACCACTGCACTCATTTTATATATTGTACTTAATGCATATTTAATGCAATTGATAGTACTGTGTTCCAGAAGAGTTCTCCCATGAGTGTTTAGCATGGGTCTCAAACTGTGGGGTAGAAAGGGCTGTGTTGGTGTGGTGACCTGCACAACAGCAGCTGAAATGTTTGGGACGTGTCAATTGGGATAAATGTGTCTCCTGCTGGGAAAGGGAAGGGCCAATGCAGTTTCACTGTCTCTAATTATTAACTTACCTAGCATTTACAACAAGTGTGTGAGGGATTTATTGGAGCAATATACATACAAGGGAAGAGGAGTGAGTCATCCAAACCATCGCTATCCACATGCTTTGTGCCTTTTTAATTACTCACTAATAAAACCGAGATGGGGACGGCTCTGCCTGGGATTCAGGGCCCTGGGGAATCCCTGGCATGCTCCTAACAGGCCTGGGAAGGGGAATTAACAAAAATGAGCCTTGTGCACCTCTGTTGCAATACTTGTAGGGGATTGCTTGGAGTAAAAGCAGCTGCTCTCCTGCGAGTCCGTGTGTACGCACAGTTTGTCCTCTGCAGTCGGCACGGTTGGGGTGAAAAGTCTGCCTAAATCTGGTGGGATTTTGGCTCGTGAGTCAAAGCCGTGGCGTGTGTGTGTGTGTGTGTGTGTGTGTGCTGCTGAACAGAGCCCCATCCCCAGGAGGGACCTCTTGGTGCCCCTTGGCCCGCAGAGACTCGGGGTGTGCGAGCAGGGACGAGGCTCAGCTCGCAGCTCATCCTGCCGGGATCGGTACCATGGGAACTGCAGGGCTCAGGATGTGAGTCAAAGGCAGCAGAGTTCCTCAGAAGTGCTTCCCATACACACACACACACATTTCCTCACTGTACAGTGGGCGTAACCCGAGCCCGAGAAGATTCCTTGTCTCCAGCTTCCCACTCACCCTCATTCACTGGTAAAGATAGTGACAAATACAGTAATATCGAATATCCATCCTGTAATAAATGCTAATAATGGGAGTAATATCCCATTCAGGGATCACTTGAGCAGCAGTAAGGGCTGTAATTAGACCTCTCAAGGAATTAAGTTTAATATTTAGATTAAGTTGCTGGAGGAGCTTTGAGTGCAATCATCCTCTTAATTCTCTGCCAGCACGTGTGTTACAGGTCTGTGCTTTCCCCTTGCTCTGGACAGGCAGCTCCACATTCCCGTGTGCAGGGAAATTGGGATTTACTCCGATTTTTTCCATGGCTGAAAAAGGAAATGGCATGCTGGTGCAAAATTTCAGGTTGCTCTCTTTTTATGGTCAAAGTTGAAATAGAAACTCCTAAAAATAATCGGGCTTTGCTTGGATCTTCTCTTAGTGCCCTTCATACAAATTTTTTAAGCTATTTCTCAGATTTGCTGAAAAGATTAATATATTTCATAACCTTTTTTTGTTCCCCATTGTGGAATTCTTCCATCTAATTATTTTCTTAGTAACTGTACAGCAATAAGAAAGGGGAAATCCTAGTCTGGGACTTTGAAGATTACAGCTTTTAGATCTTCAGGACATCTGTAATTACTGCTGTTATTACGTTTATAACTCTTTATTCAATTTACAAGCCCAAAATTTTCAGGAAAGACATACTAAGCACAGAGGTATAAATAAATTAGAAAGCACTTAACCATCGTAGCAGCAAAAGATACTAAATGGAAAATAAAAAAGGAGAAAGGAGAGCTCCCCTTTGTATGTCTCTTCCTTTTAATTACACCTCTAAGAACATAATGTTTTTGGGACCCTTAATCTTTATTGACAATAATTGAGCCAGGGGATTTGGAAGATACTGAGGTAGGAAGGAGAAGGCAGATCCATGCTCTGGGTCTCATCTCTTGAGGAAATCAGCCTGGGGAGTTCACATTCCCCACAAAAAGCAGCACCCATCTCTTATTTCTGTATTTTTCCACCCTAATATACATAAGGATGTCTTTACTGCTGCCATGTTATTGCTCTTGCCTTTTTAGGTGTTTGTTCCTATGAGCAGCAGTGATCCTTGTCCCTTCTTCCCCCAGAGAATTCCCACAGCTCTCAGACTGGGAGGGCTGGGAGGATCCCAGTGGGAATCCTTGCTTTGTCCTCTCCTGTGCTGGAGCATTCTGGCTGCTTTAGCACCACCAGAGAGAATGACAAGGCAAAGGCAAAACATTGTACCTTAGATGGTAGCATTAAAAATCCAGATTACTTTTTTCCATGTTTTAGGAATTTTGCTTGTTTAAATCATGCAACTAAAACGTTTTGTTTACTTTTCAAAAGGTGCTTTGGTTTCTATGTAACAAAAACTGGTAAAGTATATGGTTTATTTTGACTTAAGCTATCCAAATGTGTATAGATTGCACAGAGTTGTGGGTTTCATTTAAGATTCTGGTTTTTGCTCTTTTCTGTATACATATTTTTGTGTTTGTGACTCTCAAAAAATCTATTTTTTAAAGAGGACTTGTCTGACAATGAGGAAATGTTCCCGAAAGAAATAACCAAATGGAGTTCCAACGATCTGATGGATAAAATTGAAACCCCCGAATGCGATGATGTCCAGGGTAATTCTTTTCCAAGTACAAACTGCATGTGCTATTTTACAGTATTTCCAGGCAATTGTCACAGCCTCATTGTGAACAAGGTAAAACTTGTTATCCTCATCTCACAAAGGGAGAAGCTGAGACAGGGCATAAAAATGACTGCCCGGTGCTGCTGGAAAAGATTTGCTCAGTGGGAACTGGGATAGCTTTTGATTCTCTTTTATTTTCCACATTGGTTTGCCTCCTTTGTGTGACAGCCAGGATTCTCTCATATAATGATGAAATATCCCAGCTCTGTCTCAAATGACTTGAATTTCTCCTGGCTCTTCTTTCCTTTTGCTCCATCCTTTGTTCCTGACTGTATCTGCCTCAGTTTTATTTTCTGCTCATCATTGTGGAATGGTGAAAGGAAGCTGTAGCTCCTCAACCAGAGCGATTCACGGTGGAAGGTGACACTCAGGCTTTCTCTACAAAGTCAGTCTGTGTAGGCACAGATGTAGGAATACATCAGATCTCTCCTCCCCAGCACAGTTCAAGCAATTCCTTTTATTTTCCCACAAACCAATCATTTCTGACAGTCGTGCAGGGATTTCCCATTGTTGCCATCCTTAATAAGGCAGCAGCACCAGATCACTGTAATGAGAGAAGAGCTCACTAATGTCCTCAGCTCTTACCCAGGTTATGAGAAATTGCTGGAAAATAAATGACCCAGCATTGCCCAGCCTTCTCAGGTGGAAGGAGGGAGAGGATGATTTGATGAAATAATGAAGGAGATGTGAGGCATTGGAACAAGCATTGTCTTTATGGAAGAATGTCTTTGCCAAAGAGCATCTGGCAGTGCTGACATTTTACACCTCTGTGCTTGCAGGTGACCTGTACCAGGAGACATCAGCAGAGTACAACGTTGGCTCCAGCGTGGAGAGGCTCAGCATCATTGAGGTGAGTGCTGTGAGTGCTTTGGCTTCTTGTAAAGAGATCCTTGGCTGCTGGAATGTCTCTGGGTGGGATAAATGGGTCCCTTTGCTGTGAGCAGTGTCTTGCCTCCATGTGCTGCTGAGCCCCAGTAACACCTTTGTGTGTCCTTCTGTAATTCAGATTTAAGGGATTTTTCCCCCATCTTTTGAACATCATATAGAAAATGCTGTGTAGTTTACAGGCAGCACCAGGTAATCCTGTGGGGATCAGAGCAGCTCGAGGCTGGGTAGAGCTGTCCTGCAATGCCAGATGAACAAGTGTGGATGTGGGAGAACACGTTCCTACAGCACTCAGCTGTAGCTCACAGCATGGAGCTGCTCAGGGTCTTGTTTGGAAACCAGTTATAGCACAGCCTGTGTCAGTACTCTGGGCAAAAGAATAAATAAATAAATAAATAACACCACACTAACCCAGCCCAGCTTTCTAGACTTCTGCAGTTCAAAGTCCTGCTGAGACACCTCAGGCTGTTCTCATCCTGCCCTTCAGCAGCTGCAGAGGTGGTGCAGCTGCTTTGCAGAGTGCCTACACTGCGTCTGAGTGGTCCGTCAAAGGTCATGAGTTTTGGAATTACTGTCTGTGCCAGACTCTAAGTTCATGGTGGTTTGGCTTTTCTATAATAGACTGAGAGCTCAAGGGCCATGAGGAGAGTGGGTGGCTGGGAGGGGAACAGCTTTGGCCACCTCCAAATAAGCAAGTCACAGCCCTAAGATTTCTCTTGGAGCTCAAGATGGTGTGGGAAACTTGCCTTCCTCAGAGGACTGTGCAAACTCAACCCCCTCCTGTTTCTGCCTTCATTTTAGAAAAAGAACAGACTTCAAAGCAAGATGAAAAAGACAGTTATTTGTAGTTGTTCACAAGCTGTCTGCTAAAACAGTATGAAAATCTTGTGCCACCAATTGCAATGATTTTCAGGTTAAAAGCTTCCCTCACCCGAAGGTGGTTCAGGATTTAGGTGTTTTAAGAGGCTTCAAATCTTACAAGGAAGTTCTAAATGGTTACCTCCACCCTTAAACTAATCAGCAGTTTCCAACTTCCTTCAGAGCAGAGGGTAATGAACTGAAAGGTGCCTTCAAATCACTACTGATAAACTTCTGCATGACCTGAGCTTGGTGACTCATGTTGTTCTCCAAATGAACACTTAAAATACTTGTCTGGAAGCAGAAGAGGTGCTGAGACGCTTTGAGGGCTCCTCCTGTGCCTCCACCCAGGGAAGGGTTCACTGTTCAGGTGCTAAAACTGGAGTCAGAGAAGGTTTAAAGAGCAAGCATGAATACAGTGGAATGGTGCTAAATAATTCAAGGCCATTCTTTTGCAGGAGGTCTGGAAAAATCGTTATTACAGACTTGGATGAGAATTTTAATACTTCTGGTGGGCTGTGTAGTAAGACAAGCTTTAACATTATCTGGCAAAAATGTGATGTAGTTGTTAGGCTGCTAATGTGTGCCTGGGCATGCTTTCCTCCCACCAGCAGGTCTGTCAGGGACTCAATCACTGCTCAAAGGACAACAGGTGACTGAAGATGCTGGAATTAGAACAATTTGCCAAATGGAAAACACTGCTGCCTTCCATCTTTCCTTACCCCCTCTCAATGGCACCAGGCAGTTGCTCAGGATGTTCTCAGATGTTGTCTCTGCTAGCACAGGGGTCAGGTACAGGAGGGTTTGCACAGATCTCACAGGTGTGGGATGGAGGATTTAAATCCGTGTGGGAGCTGTAAACACTGAAAGCCCTGCTAGCAAATAGATATTAAAAATAGTGCCTGCTCTGTTGTGTTACAATATGTGCATATGGATGCTCTTGTACCTGCCTGGGGCATCAGGATTGGGCTTACAGCTCTTCTGGCAGGGCATTAATGATAAGGATACAATTCCCTCCTTCCCCCAAATTACAGCCTGTCTGTTTAGGTAAAGAATTGATCCCACACAAAAAGCAAATCCCTGCCAAATTCAAATCCCTCACTGTGTTCATGCAGCAGTCTCCCAGACACGTCCTGGCCGTTCCTTGGGTTGTGGGTCCTGAACTTTTTTCATTTCAGTTCCTCTCTTGCAACAGTTTAAGCAAATCTGAAGTTTTATTTATAACTTTTGTGTTAGGCAAACATGCAATGACTGATCTACCCACAACTTCTCAGTAACTTGCTGACCTGTTTGATCTCATTTCTTAATTTTGCTGAATGTGTTTCACTGCCAACTGCTGTAGCTGAGCTCAGCACCCCACAAAAAGCAACACCCATCTCTTATTTCTGTATTTTTCCACCCTAATATACATAAGGATGTCTTTACTGCTGCCATGTTTTACCTGGATACAATTTTATGCAGGTTTTTTTTTTTACTTTCAGCATTTCTTCTGCTTCTGACAAGTCAGACTTGAGGTTGTGTGTGCATTTGTGCATGCACAAGTGTAGGATTAGAGACCTGGAAGGACTACTCAGGTTCTCAGCATTATATTGTGGTGTATCTAATGGCCTTTGCCATAAATGAATTTGCCATAAATTAATTTGCCATAAATTAATTTGCCATAAATTAAGCACAAGTCACACCCCTTTGAAAAATGAACATTTCTGTGTGCTCTCTTCCATCCCCCCTAGGATGAATCAGTGCAGCCATTAATGCAGCCAAGTAAAATCCATGTCTTGCTCTTGGTCCTCCATGGAGGGAACATCCTGGACTCAGGAAGTGGTGACCAGAGCTCCAAGCAAGGGGATGTGAACACCATCACAACTGTGTTTGACACAGTGATGAGGGTGCATTACCCAGCTGCTCTGGGACACATTGCCATCAAACTTGTCCCTTGCCCAGCCATCTGCTCCGAAGCTTTTTCCCTGGTGTCCAGGTAAGTTGATGCTGTTTTATGATGGAGTGGGGGTTTTTGGGGGTTGTTTTGTTTTATTTGTTTCCCTGAGTTGTTCTGCTTGTAGCACTGAGAGCTCTGACCCTGCTTTGAGGATGCATTTATTAATGTACCAGCCAGGCATTCAATCTCGATTTCATACTTAGCTGCAGTGAATACAGTAATCATGCAGCACAAGTTCTGAGATTGATTTATTCTAATTAATCCAATAAATACTAAGGATTTAATTCCTTGTCTGAGGGTTGTTCTGTCAGTGTAAGTATGTTGTCCTTGAAGATTTACGTTTGATGGGAGGGAAAGATTTATTAAGCTCTCATCCATTCACAGAAGAATAAATGGCCTTTCTGTCTTGAGGCTTTTTTTTTATGAACCACAACACTTGACTGTGCTGCCTGCAAGTTGTTTTCCCCATATTCCCTCTGTCTCTTGCTCTCTCCAGCCTCAGCCCATACAGTTATGATGAGGGCTGCCTGTCCAACAGCCAGGATCACATTCCCCTGGCTGCGCTCCCCCTGCTCGCCACGTCCTCACCGCAGTACCAAGAAGCCGTGGCCACTGTCATTGTCAGAGCCAACCAGGCCTACAGTGAGTTCATCAAATCCCAGGAGGGCACCTCCTTCAACGGCCAGGTGAGCCAGGGGCTGCTCAGGCCACAGCCAGAGGAAGAACAAATGAAGCAATTTCCTTCTGAAATTCTCTTTGCTTTAAATCTCTCAGGAGGATGAAAACATGACAGTGTTGGGCTGCAATAAGGAAGTGTTGTGCTTTCCATTTTTTTTTCTGAGAGGGAGAGATTATTGCTTGTGCTCTGTCCTGAACCTTTGGGATTCAAAGCAAAGTCTAAGTTTGTGCTCAGAAATGAAGCTCCAAAGCTGTGAAGTTAATCAGGTTTCAGCATAACACACCTTGCCCGAGCAGGAATGCTGCCTTTGTTACTAAACATGGTCTCTTCCCCATTGCAAACTAAGGCTGTTTAAGCATTCCTGGCTTTAAAGGACCTTCAGCAGCTCGTCCTAGAGCTGTCATACCCATGGGTTTATTTTTTTGAGGCTGTGCAGCTGCTGCACCCCGTGAAGAGCATGACTGAGCCTCACACCTCTGAGCAAAGTGACTGCCTGGCCCCACGAGGGCAGAGACGTTGGAGGAGCTGTCACACTGCACTGTTGTCATGTGGTTTATCCACCCTGAGCTTCTTCCCAGCCAGCCCTCTCCTGCCCAGGGATCTTGGTGCTTTACTGTGCCTGTCTGTTTATACCCTTGGAGGCAGGACTCTGTTATCCCCTTGGGGTACAAATGGGCTGAAGCTTCCCTGAGGTAGCATGAGCAGCTGGCAAGGGGGATCCAGCTTGGTTTCTGCAGTTAGCACCAGGATCAGGGCTCTGTGTTGCTGTCCTCTTGCTCCACTTGGCTGGTGGGGACAACCAGGACACCTGAGCTATGTGAGAGAATGGGAATCTGCAGGCAGTGATGGATTTCACTGGCTGAACAGTTTTACTGATGAATGCACTGGGCATCCTGTTACTCCAGTTTGTCCAGCTGGAATCCAGCACTCTGTCCAGCTGTTAGTTCTGAGCTGAGGTCAAGGGGCTTTTTTTAAAATTTCCTTTTTATTCCTCCTCCTTGTCCTCCCCTGCTTCTGTTTCTTGTCTCAGGTGTGCTTGGTAGGGGACTGTGTTGGAGGGATCCTGGGATTTGATGCCTTATGCTACAGCAATCAGACGGTGTCCGAAAGCCAGAACAGCAGTCGGCGAGGGAGTGTTGTGAGTGTCCAGGTAATGCTGGCTCCCAGTTCCTCCACAGACCCTGGTTTTAGTGAGGATCTCCTGAAACAACAAAGAGACTGTTCCTCATCAATGGCAGACATGTCTTGAGGTTCATATGGGTGTCAGTTTGGGTGTGTTTGCTCTAAGCAGAGATGTTTCACCCTCTGGTGTGAAGCATCACCCACACTTTAGGAGTGATTGGGCCTGAGATTCTGTATTGGCCTCAACTGGATGTTGGGGTAAATGGGGAAAGGATAGGAGGGAGGTGTTACAATGTGGGTGTATTCTTAATTCAGCTAAATCCATACATTTCAAATCCCAGGATACCGACCTTCTGTCTCCTGGAATAACGGTGAACAACAGCCACTGTTCCAGTGGCTCTAATCTGGAAGCCAGCAGACACCTCAGCAGGAGCAACATTGATATTCCTCGTAGCAATGGAGAAGATCCAAAGAAGCAGCTGCCACGAAAAAGGAGTGATTCATCCACTTATGAAATGGACACGATAAAGCAGCATCAAGCCTTTCTTTCAAGGTAAGATTTAAGATTTGGAAGGAACAGATCCAGAGTGTCCTAGAGCTGAGGGTAGTGTATCTGTAGAACCTGAGTGTTGCTTTGTCATCCTGTGATAAGCAAGGTGGAGGAAAACAATTTAGATTAGAGGGTTATCGATTTCAGTGTGTTGTATATGCAAAGAAAATTAACAGCTTTTTTGCTGAGGGGCACTGAGAGAATCCAGCTTCTCTACTGCATCAGTGTTGCATGGCAAGAAACCCTTTGAGCTGTTGTGTGACAGCCAAGGCAGTCAGGGAACTGCTGCTCTGCTGTGCTCCAAGTGTGGGATGGAGGTCAGAAAGCAAATGGAGAAATCGTGTTAGGGAGCTCAGCGAAGCAGAACTGGGAACCCAGCATTGTATTAATTTTAAAGCATCTCTGAAACCTGATTTTGAGTTACTCTGTCCCCTGCCGGGGCTGCTTCATTGCATCAAGGACATGTTTTAAATTTGTTACTCACTGTTGAAACTCCCAATATCACATTTTTAAGCTTTTTCAAATGGACATTCAGAAATGTGTCTGCTAACATAACTCATGGAATTTTCACAGCAGTCTGTCCATGGCCAGTGGTCATTTAGGGATTATTTCTGTCAACCCAGAGGATTTTTCTGACTGAATCTTCTTTTCCAGCCTCTGGAACTGGACAGCCAAGACCTTTTTCTCCTGCAGGCCTGGAGGAACTGCAGTAAACATGCTCTTAATCTCTTTTCTCATGTCTCAGGAACTGGGGAGCAGTGTCCCCCGCAGCAAACCCCATTATCTGCATTGCAGCTGTGTCCAAGGCTGTTCCTTATGCCCTGTGCTGTCCTGCATTTCTCCCCCCTCCATCACTACTTGGAGTCATTGTTTTAGCACAGGGATTTGTGTTGTCCTGCCATGTCAGGGCCCTTCTGTAAATGATTTATAAGAGAGAGAAGGTATCAAAGTGAATGTTGTTGGTGCACAGAGATAGGATATTCAGAAAGACTGCTGCATTTACAAAATCCACAATAAGGTTCTTGGCTATTTCCAGCAGGTTAATAAAAGGCAATCAGGATCTTGTTCTTGCCTCCTCAAAACAGTCTCCTGTATTACAGGAAAATATGAGTTGTGCAAAAATGTACTGATTGTCCTCCTTGTTACTGACCTCAAGGGCACAGACTCAGTTAAGGAAATCAGGCTGGCATCTTGATGCATTTTTACACCTATTTTAGAATAAGTGCTGGGCCTGATGTGGATAATGGATTGGTCATTTTGTTGTTCCAGATAGCTTTGTGCTGGTCCTTCCTGTTCCATCTCTGAAGGGCTCTGCCTGCACCCAACATGCAGCACTTGTGGGTCCCTGGCAAGAGCTGTCAGGATTCAGTGGGGTGACAGATTGGTGCATCTTTACTTCTTAAGAGTTTTATGTGTTTTTAAACCTGCATTTAGACCTTGGGCTAAAAATTAGTCTCTTCCCAGAACTCAAAACCAGGATTCCCTCAGGGAAAGGGGCAGGTTGAATCTGCAGTAGGATCTCTCTGCATGTCTCTCACTCAGCTCTGTGGTGCAGGAGGGGCTGGGGAGCAGAGATTCACCTCATCCCTGGTGCAGGAGAGGCTGGGGAGAAGGGATTCACCTCATCCCCGGTGCAGGAGAGGCTGGGGTGAAGGGATTCACTCGTCCCCTCCTGCATGTCAGCAGGACGTCACTCTCACGCCCATCTCTGGACCTTGTTCTCCCAGCCAGCACCAGCAGAATGCCCTATTGGCCTCTGCCATCAAGGAATGATTTTTCCCATGCAAAAACCAAGCTCTGGTGTGACGTGGCTACAGGCAGGAGGTTGGCAGAATAAGAGCCAAGTTTTCCTCCAGGGCTCGGCAGACGGGCAGCCTGGCACACAGGGACCTTTCTGTCCATGCCCACTGCAGATTTCAGCCTGTGCCAAAGACACTCATTTTTATTCATGTATTAGACCTTCCCACTTCTCTGGGATAATGCCCAGCAAGCCAGAGCAGCATCTGGAGATTACAATCACACATTTATTTTTAAATTCAGTCCTTCTGCACAACTACATTATTTCTGGCTGTGCCGTACTTGCATTATTGTAAATGAGTTGATTTGCTTCTGAAATCCATAAGCTCTTGTTTAATTAATGCACACAGTACATCTGCTGCTCTTTAAAGGGAGAACAGGGCACTGTAGGTTGTTTGGAGCATGACGGATCCAGAGTTCCCCTTGGCTCTCATTTCTTTTGATTGCTGGAAAGACGATACCAAGTTCCTGGCAAAAGGAGTGAAGATGCCCAAATTGCTCCGTGCTGTGCCTGCTCTGCTTCTTCCCTTCCCCACGAAAACATGCTGTGGGAAGCTGTGTGGAATACACCAAACACCCTCTGCACCCATCCTGCCATTGGGATAGCTTCTCCTCTGGTGCCTTTGTTGGAATTCTGTCACTGTCACCCTGCCTTCATCAAAACCGAGCGTGTTCTAAATGACTTTGCATTCTTCACACACAGCAAACTCGCTGCATTGCATCTTGTTAGCTGAAGCAATTGTAGCTCCACCAAAGGTGCCTTGTTCTCAGAGCTGTTTCAGGGCTGTGCAGCTCAGCACTCTGCTCTCAGGCAGGCTCGTTCACATCACAGACACAGGAACAGGCTCATTTTAGCTGTCACTGCTGTAACCTCCCATGCCTCCCGCTTTGACACCACTGTTGTGACTCCCTGTGATGTGTGTGTGTCTGGCATAAGTAACTTATCATTGCCTGGCTGGGAACAGGGAGAGCAGAGCCGTGCATGTGCATGTGTGCAGCTCCAGAGGGAACATGACAGTGCAGCAGGAGCAGGAGGAGGCTCAGCATCCTTTGGGAATGGTGCTCAGCACAGGAGGAGCAGGAGGAGGCTCAGCATCCTTTGGGAATGATGTTCAGCACAGGAGCTGTCTCTGGGATGATGCATTCCTTATTTGCCATGGCAGGGAAGCAAAGTCTGGTGAAACCCAGTTTTCTTCCCCAAAGTGTGAGCATTTGCAGCTGCTCCTGGGCTGAGTGGCTGTGTCTGAGGGGTCTGTGAGCACCTGCTCTGGTGCTGAGGATGGTGGGAACAGCTCTGCTTTGGGATCACAGCAGTGCTGGGCTTCCACTGCCCTCAGAAGTGGCCTCGATGAGCCAGAGCTGTTGCACATGAGGGTGTGACAAGTACTGGTCTCCACCTGAGGTTTTATTTTGGAGCCACAGGGCCAGCAGGAGACTGTTGGATTTGCATCATTCCTGACTCCAGGCCAGTAAACTCCTTATCCAACCCAACTCCTATGGTATCCATTGCTCCTACGTGTTTTCTACAACCTGTTCTGATGCTTTTTTAAGTGTTTGCAAACACCCTCTTAAGGCACTGCTAGTACTGCCCTCAACTCTCTGCTTCTAATTATAATGAGATAACCCACTACAGCTGCCACTGGAATCTGTACAATCTGGAGAGCAAAGGAATTTGCAGCTTCATGCTTTTGGATGGGAAGCATCTCAGAAAGCCTTTTGTGAACCAAGTTACCAGTGTTGCACATCTGTCATTTCACCTTCCCAGATCTAGACTGCAAAGAAGCAACTCACTCTAATATGAGGGTGGATTCCCAGGATTTTCACCTAAGCATTCCTGCTGCTTCTTCTTCAGTGTCCAAGGAAAATGTGAATTTAAATCTCTATGTTAAACCTGTGCATTTCCCAGCCTGCACAACACACAGGTGGAATTTTGCAAAGAGATTTGACACCTGAGAGAGGGAGGAAGAGCTGGACGTGTTCTGTATAGTAGCAGCAACCACAGTTTTGACTCCTTAAAGAAAAAACATTTTGAGGAGGTGGTGTGTAAATGAGCTCACCTGAAGCTTGGATTTGTACATTTAAATGATGCCAGTGCAGTGGGATCATTGTGGGTTGATTAGCACAGTTCCTTCCCTGAAGAGATAGAGATTATACCTACTGTCAATCACTAATCCAGGCTTTAATTATGAAAACACAGTGAGAATATCATTTGGACTTTATTTTCTGTTCTTATCCCAGTTTACATTCTAGTGTCCTGAGAAACGACCCCACATCCAGGCGATCCAGCAGCTCCACGATGCTGGATGGAGGAAATATTGGGAAGTTTGACTTTGAGATCACAGACTTCTTCCTCTTTGGCTCTCCCTTGGGTCTGGTGCTTGCACTGCGGAAAACTGTAATTCCAGCTCTTGACAGTAAGTCCTGGTGCAAACTGCTCCCTTGGTGGGTGGTGTAAGCACCTCCTGCTGCACTTGCAGGAGTCTGCTTAAACCCAAACATTTCCGTGTCGTATTTATTGCACCGTAAAGAAGCAGATCTCCGTGTGCTCTCTGCACCACTGATCATACCATTTCCAAACATGAAAAGTGCTGGGCAATTCTTGAGTTTGTGAACATCATAATAAATTGTTTCAGTTGATTAAACTAGGAGATGAAGGAGATGATAAATCTCTTGCAGTTTTGTAACCCAACAGTTGTCCTTTTCAGAGACAAATATTTACAATATTCTAACTAGTAACGTTTTGATAGTTTAGGGGTTTTTTTTTCTTTGTCTTTTTAGTCTTTCAGCTCAGACCAGCTTGCCAGCAGGTCTATAACCTGTTCCACCCTGCAGACCCATCTGCTTCACGCCTCGAGCCTCTTCTGGAGAGGAAGTTTTACCTTTTGCCCCCCTTCAATATTCCCCGGTACCAGAGGTTCCCGCTGGGTGATGGCAACTCTGCAGTTTTGGGTAAGTCCCTCTGGATCTGCTTTAGCTGTTTAAAGGGTTAAAGCCACATTTTACATGAAATTATCAACGCAATTGGAAATGGTGAGAAAGAGAACTGGCCCTGTAGCATTAGCTTTGTTCCTGATTCACCAGAAAAGGAATTTTCTTCCAGTGCAATCAGTGCCTTGTGTCCTGTGTGCCCTCTGTTTGTCACACAAGCACCTCCAGCTGCTGAGGGTCATGAGGTGGTGACCTCTCTGTAAAGGCCTCTGTTTTACACCCAGACTGGTGCCTGTGACTGAGAGTGAATGAAACACAATTGAGTTGGCAGAATTTAGGACTTAGAGGGCCAGAGAAGACTGGAGGGAGCAGAGTCTACAGTGAGATGATGAGATGATTTACTTGTTTGCATCCCATTTGTCTAATATTTGAATCATGCAGGACTAAATGAAGAAGACTATGTCTAGAGCTGGATAATTCTGGTGATCCTCTGCATCATTTTAAAGTTGAAAATCCAAAGAAGTGGCCTTCTATATGTATCAATGTCTTCAAATATTGTAATTGCTCAGTCTAGAGGTCTGATTTGTTAAATGGGCACAAACTAAACCCCATGTTTAATGAAGTGAATAAAATGCTTTCTGCAGGCCCCACTCACTTGTCAAATTTAGCCAAGATCTTGCTGCAACACTTTTTTAAAAATGGATCCACCCACAACTGCATTTGTACCCAGGCCAGTTACAACAGCTCAGGGAATCTATAGCAACTTGACGAGCAATTTGCTTTTTGGGTGTATTCTACATATCAGCTGCAAGGGGCTTATCACAAAAAAAAATAGCAGCTAAAATCTTACCTTCTTTCTCTTAAATACATTGCAAAGCCCCTGTTCTCACTGAACCCAGAGGTAGAGGCCCCATTGACACTAACCCTGTGTTCTGGTTATCATTCTGGACAGCAGCAGGACTATTAGAGCCTCCCTGGACCTCTGAGTTGGCCGTGTTTGGAGAGACACTTGCTATGCAGTGAAGTTAAATAGCAATTAGCTCTCCTATGAGAAGGGCAGAGTAATTGCAAAACCTCCAAGTCTGAGCCTTGTTATTTCAAGAGATACTGCTCTGCCTTGATGAATAAAACTGGCAAAAATCAGCTTTAAATTCTCTTTTCCTGTAAGACAAAGCCTCTTCATTTGCTTATCAGAAAGTAACAGGCTGTTCCTTTCCATTAGAGTCCGTGTTGTGATGGACACATTACCCAGAAGGACTAACCATGATTCACCAAGCTGCTCCTGAAGTTAGTGTTCACTGGAGGGCACTCCACAAAAGTTAATTGCTGCTATAATTAAACTGTATGTTTTGCTGATCATGTAAAATTCAGGTGCTCAGTTATAATTGGTTTTGTACAAAACCTTGTGTAACACTGCTTGTGCACATCTCCTCGTGCAGGTAGCTTTTTTGGAAGTCTACAATTCAGGAAGCCTCTCAGGCTGGTTTTTTTCTCCCATTTTCCCATCTGTACTAAATGCTGGTCCCTGTTTCATGTCAGTAAACTTGCAGAGGAAAATCAAACTCACATCCCTGCTTACTCCTGTGCTTTGCACTGTGTAGGCTGTGAGTCTGATTCTTCCCTTCCAGCATATTTTTTCCACTCATAGTAAAAAAGATTTCTCTGGATCTGGATATTTATGGATTTGGCCTAGAAGGGGGTGAAGATGCCTCCCTTTTGTTGTTGAAATGCCATCGTTGTGTTCTCCTCTGCTCCCAGTTAATCTCTGATGTTGGTCTGTTTGGAAATCACCCCTGTTTTGTTTCTTTTACTCTATTTGAAGGTTGTCTGTTCATTGAAGACCCATAATTAAGTGCTGGGGTGTAACTGTTTGTATGTTTAACACTTTGTGGCCGCATGTCTGTTGTTCTTTGTCCTTCTGTTATGTTTTTTTTTTTTCCCCATCTGCTTCTAGTTGAGACAATCCAGAACAATCCCATCCTCCTCATGGAAAGTAGCCCTCTGGGTGCTCTCCAGCACCAGGACAGCTTCATGGAAACAAGTATCCCCGTTCCCGTACTGAATTGGCAAGATGTTTCCAATAAAAGTGCTGGTTGTGCTGAGTGTGTGTAATCTACACTTTTGTATTGTCTGTGGTGTTGGGTTCTTGGGGTCCTTTTTTGGAGATCACACCGCTGCCTCCTGGAGTTGAAATCTTTGTGTTGTGTCTCAGGCTGTGCCACACAAAAAAACTACTGGGGATCACACATGGCTCTGGAAAGGCCACTGTGGAAAAGGGGCTTGGTGTTATAAACTCTGTCCCATTCTGGTGTTGATGCTGGGAGCTGCTGCCATGCACGGACTGGTTTGCTCTGTGCTGCTGGAAAGAGGCTTTGGCTGAGACAGTCCCTGGTAGCCCTGCTTGTGTGGCAGCATCCCTTGGGACAGGTTGTCCTGCAGTGTGCAGCTCCCCAGCAGCCACGAATCACCGTGCCCAGGAGTCCAATTGATGTCACACCAGATTTTGTCCCTTGGAGTATTTCATGTTTGGACACTTTTGTGGCTCTGCTGAACACAGCACTGAGGCTTTCAGACCCCAGCGTGGCTCTGCGTGTTGGTTATTTTCAATTAATTTCTCGTCTCCCGCCTTAAAAACAAAGTTTGATGCATTTGTTTTGCCTTAATTTCCATCATCAATGCTGCATGGCCTCATTTATTCTGATTGTGGCTGGTGCTACATCTGCAATTTTGATGAGATTTGCCTTTGTTTTGGTTTTTTCCCCCGCGTGTCTCACTTGCCCGTTCTCGTTCCTTTCTCAGTGTTTTGCATTGGGAGCTGGGTTCTGCTGCCCTGTTTGTGTTTAACAAGCTGAGCCTCACTGTCCCTGAGCAGTTTGGGCTGTTATGTGGTCATACAGGATGGCAACATCGCTGAGTTTTTGGGTGGCCTCTCCCTCTGTCTCCTGGAGGTGGAGAGGATTTTCAGGTGTGCAGTTGCTGTGTTGCCTGTGCTGTGAGGTTTTGTGATAAAGCAGAGGGAGAGGATCTGGTACTATTAATAAATCAGAAGTCCCTGATTAAATGCCATTTCACTGTGAGCTGATACTGCCTGTGGTCAGGACAGAGGTTGTGGAAGCATCCCCTGCCCATGGCACGAGGTTGGAATTAGATGGTCTTAAAGATCCCTTCCAGCCCAAACCATTACAGGATTCTGTGATTCTCTGCTTTTTACACTGTGGGTCAAGAGCACAGTGTGTCCAAGCAGTTGTTGATGTGAGTGTAGCAAGTTCTGAATCCCAGTTCAGCCACTGGACTGCAGGAGATTTCCAAAATCACCAAAACTTGTGGACAGCAGAAATCTGTTGCTCTTGATCTCAAGGTAGTGGCTGCAGAGTGCCCAGCACTAACCAGTGACTCCAGTGCAAGCAGGACCTGGCCTGTGCTGAGCAGCTGCCTGGCTTTTATATGGTTTTTAATATTTCTGTTTATATTGAACTGTATATATTTTTTGATTGCTTTCAGTATTTCCTGCTTTGGTGCAATAGCCCATTCTCCAAATAGCACATATCAAAATCTGTCATTCAGCTACCCCAAGGACTTACTGAGAAGATGGCTCAGGGCTGTTCCCTTATAAGAACATTGATGAATGAGTCCAAAAGTGAAAGAGCACAGCACCAAAATGAGTATTAAAGATACGTAGGTAGGCCAAAAGAAAAAAGTGATTTGGCTTCCCATGTCCACTCCCCTGGAAGTGCAGTTAAGCCCTGGGCCATGGCTGGCTGTGCTATGTGGTTCCAGCAGCAGCAGGTGCTTTGCTGGGAGGGGGCTCAGGGCACTGCTGCAGCCAGGCTCCTCTTCCTCACTCAGGTCCAGTGGCCCTGAGTCAGCCCTGAGTCACAGCACAAAGTGAACTAAACAAGGCCCCTTCTGTCCTTACTGAGTGACAGAGGAACAGCTAATCTTGCCAAAGGTCTTGCTGCTGCTGGACCTTCTGGCTTCACTCTGGGCTTGCCTGGCAAACCTCCCTGTGGCTGTCAGGACCTGAGCTGTGGCTGGGGATGCACCTCTGGAGTGCAGGAGGCTTCCCATGGCTCCTGTTAGGACCACCTGGCTGCAGGTGCTGGGGTCTGTCTGTGCCAGCGTGGCAGCATCTGTGACATCCCACCCTGGTCACTACACTCTCCAAGAAAGCCCCCTTGGTTTCAAAATTGCTGTACAAGAGACATGATGCAGAGAATACACAAATTCAGGAAATATGTTGTTAGGCTTGTGGGTTTTTTCTGCGAGTCAGGTCTCAGAATTTTCTTTGGAAGTTGCTGTCGCTGCAGCTTTGGTGTGGAGGAAGATTTTCTGAGTGGGTTGTAATGCATAAAACAGATTTTTCTCCACATTTCCCACCCTGCCTTTTCCTGGCCTTCTTTTTTCTTAGAAACTGCCCTTTCTCAGGGACAGAGGGTGTGTAGCTTGGGGAAAGGGAGAAGCACAAGAGCAACCTGAGTGGGCAGGAGCAGGAGAGCACTGCTGTCAGTCAGGTGGCACCTTGTCCCCTGCAGAGCAGACCCCTGCCACCAACGCAGGCAGTGCTGACCTGAACAGTTCAGTAATGCTGAAACACCTCAGGCTTTAACAGGAGTGGGAATTGTTCCTCTGCTGATGGGGCTGGAAGGGCTGCTCAGGTTGGGTGCTTTTGCTGCAAACTCAGTATATTCCAAAATCCCTGGTCAGCCCAGGAAAACAAGATTGGCTAAAAAAGAGCAAGCCCAAAACCTCACTGTTTCTTACTTTATTCACTTTCTGGATTCTCAAAAAGGAGTTCAGGCAGAGCTAAGTGAAGTGGGCTAATGGAGTCAAGGCTGTGACCACCCCAGGCAGGCCACGTTGGGCTCAGCCTTTTGTCCTGTAACATTCTTGAACTTGTCTTCGAAATTCAAGCCACAGGTGCTTTAGATTAAAGCAGGTGAAGAAGTTCAGGTTTCTCTGGTGGTTAAACCTGAACACAGACAAACCTCTCCTTGCATCTGAGGAGGTTCAGGGAAGCTGATGATCATCACCTCTGTTGGGGACCCATTTGGTGACACAAGAGCAGGAGCACAGGAGGATCTCATAGGCAGGAGAATGGAGAGGGAGGGGTGAGCAGAGAAGAGAGGGTTGTTCGGGTTCCCCAGCAAAAGGAATGAGACCCTTTACCCTTCAGACCTTTGTGGGGTTCAGTGCAGCTCCTGTTTTTCACTTGTATTGTCTCTTCTTGCTCATGCTGGTGTTTGTACAGTCAGAAAACAGCACCGGCCTGGTGGGACCAGCTGGGTTGTGGATCCTGGTCACAGCCTTGACAGCCAGCAGCTTGAGGCAAGGTGGAAAGAGGGGGAAAGTGATGCTGCTAATGGCCTTTCAGGCACACCACGGGCTGTGTGTGCAGCTCATCATCAGGTCAGGCTCCTGCTAGGGCTCAGATCTCACAGTCCACAAAGCTTTTACACAGAGCAGCTTGTGGCCTGATTTTCCCTGCAGAGAACAGAACTCTTTTACTGACACTTAGCCACACATTTTCTGTTTCATACATTCCCTCTCCCTCGGCTGCAGCAGGATTTGTGTGGGCACAGACGCTGCTGCTGCGAACTGAGGGATTGGAGGGAGAAAATCAGTAACCCCAAGCAAAAAAAGATTGATATTAAAATAAACCAGCTGCTAAAACAACGTCCTGTGTCAGCCATGTGCCAGGATTAAATCCAGGGATAGCTAAACGGGCTGGAATAGGTGGAGGATGTTGATGTGTGGGAGTAATGTGCTCACATTCCTTGTGGTATCTCCTGTCTGATATCTGGGAATAAATTCAGGTGCTGCTCCTCAAGTGCAGCAGAGATGGGCAACCTTCAAACCATAATGAATTGCTTTGCTTTTGCATGTTACTGCCACACTGGTGCTGCCTGCTGTGAGCACCTGGTGTTGGCATTACAAACCTCAGCCCTGCAGAGCTTGGGATATCCCACTTCATTTGGCCTCGTAGCATCTACAGAGGGGTGGATGCTCTTGGCACTGCGACAGAGAGAAAACTGAAATGCAGAGATTTTAGTGCGACTTTCAGCATCTCTCCTGAGTGTTTGAGGTCTTTTTCCCTCCCATATATAAGGTCTGTGTGAGCATGATTTTAAACCCTCCTTTCTGTATTTATGTACTAAGGGGTTTGGCCTAACTCAGGAAACCTCAGGTTGAGATTTAAAAATCCAGACCTGCATGTTGTACCAAAAAAAAGCTCTGTTTTCATAGAGCCTGAGTGCTCCCTGATCTGCTGACTCTGATGGGAGATAGAGATGCTCAGCACCAGACTCCCTTCAGTAGCCCTTTCTCCAGATTAATGAGTATTGGCTGTGTCCTTCAGCAGTAAAATACAAGTCCAAATTTAGTCCCTGCCAGGCATGAAGATGTTTTCTTGATTTTTGTTTTAATAATGCTTCTATCTTGGAAATACTCATTTAAGTTTAAATAGCTCAAGAAAACAAATATCCCTTTCTAAGGTTTTTTTTTGTTGTTGTTGTTTTGGTTATTTTGTCTCGATGTGAATATATAGAATTGTGTATATTCACATCTGTATGTATGACACATGCTTGTTATTGCTGCTTGAATAAGTCTGCCTGGGTTTTTCTTTGGATCTGGTTTTTGAGCTACTTACTTTGCTTCTCTCGATCAAAGACTGCTCCTCCAGCCATATGTCTCTGCCTGCTGTGCTGTTTGCTTTCTTTTCAAACCAGAGCTCCAATGAAATGTGGGGTGTTTCTGTTCCATTCCAATCAGCTCTGAAAGGTTTTTGCACCTACCAGCTTTGTTTACCTCCTTCCTCAACCCCCGAGTTCATCTTGCCCAGCCTCTGTCTGTTGGTCTAATATTTTGATTTCCCTGTTTCAACTTTGTAGCAGATGTTGTTCAGTCTCATGGTGCCGTCTTCATGGAAAACGCGTCCCTGTCCACCCCCATTTCAGCCCCTCAGTTCAGGGGCTTCCGGAGAGCCAGTGAGATCAGCATTGCCAGCCAGGTCTCAGGAATGGCAGACAGTTACACTGCTTCCAACATAGCCAACAGTAAGTGTTGCACCCCTCCGAGGCCGAGCAGCTTCTGTCCGTCCGTCTGTCCGGGGGGTGCTTCCCATTCATAACCAACAGCTTGGAATTGTTCTGCCACGGTCAGGGCCGTGTGTGAGCACATCCCTGCAAGAACAGCTGATGTATCTGATGGCCACGCAGGGACCACTGTGTTCTGCATGTTGGACCTTGCTGGTGGTGAATTGTTAAAGAAAAGATGATAATTGCTGACTCTGAGCACCATTTGGCCATGGTGTGTGGTGAGGGTTAATCCAGAGGGAGGTTTCTGTGCTGCCATGGTAAGTCATGCAGAACTGGTCGGGATCAGCACTTGATACCAGATGGGTAATGCAGGATGTGCCTTGGTGCAGATCCCTCAAACGTGGCCCACAGAACCAGGGATGAGTAAGCCCCTCTCTAATGCTGAAAGGCAAGGACAGGTTGGTTCAGAACAGAACATTTATTACTTTGCATCAGAAATTCAGCTCTTCTGCAGCCCACAGGGCAGCTTCCAGTCAGTTCTGACCCATTTCCCAGAGCTCAATGAGGAGTAAAAGGAATTTTTTATTTATTATTTTTCCCAAGACCTGTATAACTTCCTAACTAATACAGTGGAAAAGAACACTTTGTCGAGTGGAGAAGAACAGACTTTATTAATGGCTCAACCCCTTCTTTATTTCAGCTCAGGTATGAGATGAACACTGTGTCCTAACAGACCTCTGGTAACTCAGACCAAAAAAAGGCTGAAAAAAAAAAAACCCACCAAAAAAACCAACTAAACAAAAAACATGCATATGAGAAAATCTTCAGACCAAACTCTATTCCCAGAAGGTCTTAAAAATTTAGAGAGACATTCCTGGCACGGGTTGTGAATTACTCACTCCATAATTAATTGCTGAAGTTAATAATGCTCCCGGAGGCAGGTATGAGTTGTTGAAGGTCTGTGGGCGCTGCTCAGGGGCTGCTGTAACCTCCTGCCCTGTTTGAGGCAACACTCAGCAGCAGAACTGAAATTCCTTCTCTGACAAACGAGGTTTTCCTGTGCAAAAGTGTATCCAAGAGCCAACACCGCACTCCTCGCGTGCGTCCTTTTACTTGTCCTGACATCTTGCCAAGCGCTGCTAAGTAGGAATCTGCTTGGGAAGCAGCTCCTGAGGGAGAAGGTGTTTGTTTTGTGCTGCTTTCCCACCCACGAGGAGCTGCTGGGCTGGCACACAGTGCTGGTTCATGGGGAGGGATTTTGCTGGGTGATGTCCCGAGGCTGGAGTGTCCCAGTGAGAGCTCTTGTCCCGAACTGCAGTAGGGTTGAGTCACACAACACTCACCTCTCCTTTCCCCGTGCTCTCCAACCTTTTGCAGCTTCTGCTTTGTGTAATTTATTTCCTCACACAGCCATCAAAGCCTGTTCCTGAGATCAGGGAGGAAGAATCTTCTCTTGGCTCCGAGTGTCCCCGAGCTCCGGCTCTGCCTTTGCTGCTCTTGCTCTCAACTTCATTGGTGTGGTGGTAGCGTGGAGCTGTGGCACTGAGGGCTGGATGTGATCCATGCTTATCCTCATGGGAGAGCTGGAGCAAGGTTGGAGGGACAGTGCAAAACCACAGCTCCCTTCCAGGAGCCTCCCTAGGGGTGCAGCTCCCCTGGTACCATGAGTTTGTGGAGGATGAAATCAGTGTGTGCCATAATAATAAGTGATTTCTGGTTTTTTTTATGTTTTATTTTTCCTTTTAGAAACCAAACACCACCCTAATCATTGTAGAGGGTTTAGCCTTCTATCCCAACTTGCCCTCCCTCACAAATCCCCTACCCAAACCTCGTTCAGGAGGCGTAGGCAGCATAAACATGAAATCCCTGCCAAGGGGAGGAAGCTCAAAGGGCCACGGAGCCGGGCTGCAGGCTGTGCTCTTCGGATACCAGACCTGGACATCAAGACAGGTATTCTGAAGAGATCCACTCCTATCAGCCTCCTCTCTCGTTTGATAGTCACAGAACTTCACAACAAATCTCTGCGCTTTCACTGAGGCACTTGCAGCTTCTGATTGCATCTTAACAAGTATTTCTGTCACTTTGCCCTGAAGATCGATCATAACACCGCTAACAACTTGGCAGGAGCAGGAATTCTTCTGGGCAGAGCTGAGGGGACAACGCTTCTGCCTCCACCACTGTCTTTTGAGCATGGAAGAGTCAATCCTGTCTGCTTCCTGTAAAGAATCTGAAATTACCCAAGCTGGGGACTTGCATGAGAAATGAAAGTTGGGACGTGACCAGGAGCTGTCAGTTTGGAAGGCAGGGAATCAGAAGTGGCTGTGAGGAGGTGCCTGTGAGCTGTGGAAAAGCCACATTGATCTGTCAAACCTTGCTGCTCCTTCCCATGGCTCTTCAGAAAAGTGGGAACTATCAGGATGACGGTGGCCTGGCACCTGGCACAGCCAGGGCTGGGCCGTGGGGACGTGCTGAATCCAAATCCCTCTGCATTTGCTGTGGTGGGAACTCTGTGCAGGTCTCTGGAAGGAGCTGGTGGATCCATCTTTTCAGTCCAGCATCTGTGCTCATCACCAGCCAGATTTCCCTTCGCAGAGGGGTGTGTTGAATTGTACCTTAAACCTGGCAGCTTTCCTGGAAGTCTTTAAAAAGGGAACATTGTCACAGAGACAAACCAAGCTTGAGGAAGCCCTTGTCAAAGCCCCAGCTTGTATCCTGCATGCAAACACAAACAACATTCTTCTGCTGCTCTCTTGGTCTCCATCTTTTCTTTCTTTGGCTGATTTTCTTGGCTGGAGTGCACAGGCATTGAGGACTTCTTGCTGCTGGGAAAGCAGCCCATGGCTTTGGGGTCTGTGGCTTTGGACTGAGACCTGCTCATTTCCAGGGATTGGGGCAGGACGTGTGCATGGGCAGAGTTCAGGGCAATTGAGGTGTGGGAGTGTCCTGGGGTGAAGGGTGTCTGTCAGACACTTGATTATGAATTGCTGGCTCCCTGGGGGAGAAACTTGTCTGTTTTATATTCCTGATTCCCCCAGAATCCCAGTGTATCTTTCAGTCCCCCATGCAATGAAGTCCCAGTACTCCCAGGTACTTGTCTTGTCCACCACAGAGGCTGTGCCCCTGGGAAGGCTGGGCTGCACATTTCGGTTGCCTGTAGTGTGGTAGACCAGGAGGGCAATAAAGACTTGTTGGGGACTACCAGTCCTGTCAGCACGTGCCATATTCCCTGCCTTGTGGTGCCTTTTAGCATCCTGTGGATTCCCAGTATTCAGTCCTCTTTAATGTGGCCAATACCTGGATGCAATTCCCTGGTGAAAGCTGAAGAGTTGGAAGCAGGGCTGGAGACGGGCAGAGCACACCCATCCTTCCCCCCACAGCTCCAGGGAGATGCGTTGCTGTCTTTATGTTTTGGCTCATTGCACAGGAGCCTTGAGCCCCTTCCCTGGGGTGTGGACTAACAGCCAATTAACCTGCCCTCCAGTGCCTTCCTCTTTGCTTAAACAAAGGAGAGCTCCCTGCTGCTGGCCGTGTGTCCCTCCCTTGGTGTGAGCAAGCACCGAGCCCTGGGCCGCTTCCCCCAGCGCAGCAGGACCAGCCAGGGAGCAGCCTCCTGGCATACCTGGAGCAAGGAGCCAGAGCCCTGAAATCCCTTTTGTTGACCCTCTTTGTCTGAATGAGTGTTTTGCTTCTGTAGTTGCTGCCAAGTGGTGGGGAACCAAACGGATCGACTACGCCCTGTACTGCCCCGATGCCCTCACGGCTTTCCCCACGGTGGCTCTGCCTCACCTCTTCCACGCCAGCTACTGGGAGTCCACGGATGTTGTCTCCTTCCTGCTCAGACAGGTACAGTCATCCCCTCTCCCTGATCTCCCTTGGGTTGAAAAATTCTTAGGGCTCTTTGTTTTTTCCAGTGTACCTTCCATTAGATTTGTTGATGCACGGAGGTGAAAAAAATACCCTTTACCCCTGCAGATCTATTTTCTTCACTTCTTTTTTTTCCTCACCTGTGGTGTTGGTGGAGCTGCACACGTATAAACTTCATGGATGTGCACAAACTTGCTTGGTTTGGGGCTGGGTTTATCATCAGAGCAGGTTTCAGATAGACTCATGGAGAGAGCCCAGGACAGTTTCCTATCAGATCCATAGTGGCAAAGGTCAGTGGCACTTGTTTCTTGGTTTGTGCTCTGTGTGTGCCAGGTCAGATCTCAAGTCTGAAACTGAAACTTCTCAAAGGACAAATAAAACCAGCACCAGATACAGTAAAACCAAAGGGGAAGTTTTATATGAATTCAGCATGAATTGATAGGCAGAATGCAGTTCTCCATTTTGCCTTTCTAAGTTATTGTTATCTCCTCTAGGAACTCATTGGGATTTAGTCCTGCAGCACAAAGCAGTTCTAGGGCCAGGAGAATGGGGTTGTTCGTGTCTGGAGTCTGACACCTCAGATTTTATCAACCTATATTTGGCCTAAAATTCAAATTTACTGTCTCAAATGTGTTTTCCCCTAAAATAAATATTTTCCCTTCAGTTCCTTGGGGATGAGGGGGAGTTATTTGCCTTAAAGAATATGAACTCCCCATGGAATGACACTTAGAGCATGGAGCTGGAAGAAACAAAACTCAAAGCAACTCTGTGGTTTGTGTTGCCCACTTTGGCGCTGGGTTTGCTTTGTGTTAGCTCAGCTGTTAAACCCTCCCTGTTCTCCTCCAGCCTCCTCTGCTGAAGCTCTCAGTTATTTATGATTCTGTTGGCAAACTTTCTTTCAGTGTTATCTTCCAAATGGTGTGAGAACCATAAACAGCAGCGGTGTCAGTGCTGGTGGCAGATGAGCAGTGCTGAAAATCCAGTGAGACTCTTCTGTTCCCAGGCTGTGTCCAGGCTCTGCCTGCACACTCCTGGCTGGATGGTCCCACATCAAACCCAGCCTAACAGGGCTGGAAAGAAGAGAGAACTCTCATTATGCATGAAGGGGAGCAGTTATGACAGTCTCATACACAAAATGTTCCACTTGGGAAATAGCCAATTATTCAGGTTTCAGCCCAAATCTGGGTCTGTAGCACTGTGTGCTGTTTCAAACCTTGTGGCACCTGGAGGTGCTTCTCCATCCATTCTAAGCCTGCTGGTGGCTGCCTGGGTAGTCTGGCACTCCCTTGCCCAGTGCCTGTCTCTGTTCACCCCTTTCTGCCTTGACACCAGGGTTTTCTCACCTTTTTCTTCTCTCTGTCCTTCACCAGCACCACACAACTGCTTCCCCTAATAAGGACTTGTTTCTAATGGCCTTTGAAAGTCATCTCTGGACAAAATGTAAAAAGAAGCTGTTGAATAGTTTTAGTCTCCAAAGATTAAATCTTGTTAAAACAAGCCCAGATAGCATTCAAAATACATTCCTGATTTAAATAATTTTCAGTGAAACTTGTTGTTTTGTTTACATTGGATTTCCATGAGCTCCTGCCCCAGCTCATCCTCCCTGGGGTCCTTTTTCCATTTCCCTGGATGAAGACCAGCTTCAGCTCTGCAAAGAGAGCTGGCCCCTGTTAGCCAAGCTCAGCTGGAGAGCTGCTTGACCTCACAGAATATGTTCAGGACCTGTAGAAGAGCCCACATTAAGAGGCTTCTTAATTTTTTGGTCACTAAGGACTACTGGCAGTTTTGGAGTTCTGTGTGCAGGGTCACCTCCCAGCCCTGCAGTGCTGTGAGTCTTTGAGGTGTCCCCCAGCCTTTGGGTGTTATTCTTCCTTTTCCATTCTAGGGGTTAAGAGTAACCTAGGTAGGATTTAACCCTCCTCTCTCCATGTTCCTGCCTCCCATCCCTGTCCACGCCCTGGTGACAGGCAGGAATTGCCCTGCAGAACTGGATGTTTGGCAGTGATGTCCCACCAGCACAAAGTCCTGGAGTTCTGTCAGCCTTGAGATGAGGCCAGGATGGACAGACAGCCTGGGCTCTGCCTCACATGCAGCCAAGCCAGACTCTTGTGTGCCTCCACAGGGGTCAAATCAGGAAGAGGAGCAAAAGCCATGGGACAAAAGTTGGGAATTTCAGTAGGAATTAGAAGGATCAGCATCTGTCGGCATGTGGCCAGTCAGAGCAGCTGGTGCTGGATCTGTTATGGAATGAGGAAGGCTCGAGTTCCCTTGCTGACCGTGGGAAGGGACTAATGAATCCCTGGAGGAAGGGCAGGTATCTTAGTGCAGAGCTCATCCTGCTGTGTCTGAGTCAGTTTTGTACCTCCTGACAATCCCAAAAACCTGCATCCCAGCCAGGATTAAGTCAGCACGGGCCACAGGCTTTGACAGGGCAAAAAAGGCCACTTGTCCTGGCAAACCTTCAAGCTGACAAGCCAAACACCCAGCAGCAAACTCGGGGGCCTCTCTCCTGGCATTGCTGTTCCTCACCACTGGCTCAGGATATGCAGAAACAGCCACAGGAAGAGAAGGCTGATGTCTTGGTGGTATCTGTCCTGCAGGTGATGAGACACGAGAACTCGAGTGTTTTGGAGCTGGATGGGAAGGAGGTGTCTGTATTCACACCCTCCAAGCCTCGTGAGAAGTGGCTCCGCAAGAGGACAAATGTGAAGCTCCGGGTAAGGGGGGTTTGGGGCTGAAAAAAGTGCAGTGTGTCCGAGCGTGCCTGAGTGTACCCGGGTGTGCCTGAGTGTGCCCAAGTGTGCATGAGTGTGCCTGGGTGTGCCCGAGTGTGTCTGGGTGTGCCCAGGTGTGGCGAAGTGTGCCCGGTTGTGTCTGAATGTGCCCGAGTGTGCCTGGGTGTTCCCAAGTGTGTCTTAGTGTGTGAGAGTGTGCACAAACTGTTCTGAGTGCCTGGCACTGACAGTGCTGTATTGCATTGCTGGGCTGTTTTAATGGTTTTATCCTACCTGGGTTCTTGTAAAAGAGCAACCCTAAAGGTGATTGTCAGCAAGGTCTCCTCTTACCCTCGAGTCTGTAAAACGCAGGAAGCGTTGGCTGTGGCTAAGGGAATGTTCTGGAATGGAACATCTTTCAAAGTCCAATAATACAAATTCTCAGTTCAGTAAGTGCCCTCTGCTCCTCGTAAAGTCTCAGTTTCTGAGAGGGCAATTCTGTGCCAGAACTGAAACAGCATCAGCAGATTTCTCTGGCAGTTGTGTCTATTTCCTCTTAATTCAAAAGTGTGAGAGTTAATAGAGAGTATCAGAATTGCACATACAGCCTGCCATGGGATTTGGCTCTGCAGCACTCCAATCCACCCATCAGTTCAGGGCACAGGGCCTCACCTCTGCCACAGGTCAAATTCTTTCCCAGAGCTGAGGGTAGAGTGGAGGGGGGGAATGGCACAGAGAAACTCATGCTCCAATTTGTCAAGTTATATTTGGCATTTCCCTGTGAGGTTATACATTGCTGAAAATTGTTTATTTTTTTTTTTCCTCCTCCCCTCTTGCCTCGTGCAGAACGTCACAGCCAACCACAGGATCAATGACACCATTGCTAATGAGGATGGGCCCCAGACCTTAACTGGGAGGTTCATGTATGGTCCATTAGACATGGTCACCCTCACAGGAGAGAAGGTACTGTGTGTGCTGGGGGGTTGTCACCACGTGTCACCATCCTGTTGAGGATTGCTGCCCTTGTGTCCTGGCCATATTCTTCTGCTCAGACTTGTGGGTGCCTCCCTGTTCCACCAGGAACAGCATTTATCACGGAGGTCTCACCACGGAGGCCAGGTTCATTCCAGCCCCTGGTGTTTGGGTGCTGCCCAGCTCAGATCCCTGAAGCGCAGAGAGTGGGAGCAGGACCAGCCCTGCTGCCACCCAAAGGAGCTTGGGAGGGATGTCCCTGTGCTCCTGCTGGGAGTGACACAACCTCACTGTCCCCAGGTGGACATCCACATCATGACCCAGCCACCGTCGGGGGAGTGGGTGTACTTTGACACGGAGATCAGCAACAGCAGTGGCAGGATTTCCTACGTGATCCCCGAGGAGCGGCGCCTGGGCATTGGCGTCTACCCTGTCAAGATGGTGGTCAGGTAAGGGGCCTGGGGCTGGCAGAGGAGCAGAGAGCAATTGGCTGGCTGTAGAACATGCTCCCTCCTGTTGCTGGGTGTGTTCAGGCCCTGGTTTGCCAACAATAGAGCCAAAGCCATTTGTACTCTGTAGCTGTAAGGGGAAAATCCACATTTTATTCTGGCTCCAGCATTACCGCCAGCATGGGAATTGGGCTCCTGCTGCAGGAGCAGGTCTTCTGCCCCACAGAGCCTCATGATCATCTGCAAAACTGCGCGACTGAGCATATTTTAAAGACCATAAACTTGTCCTTGAGGGACAGGACTTTGTACTTGTGATGATTCACAGCCCAGGGGCTCCAGCTCAGCTCCACTTGCTGGTGTTGGGCTGTGGGAGGGTGAGGAGGGGATCATCTTGATGGTGAACCCAATAATGTTTTTCTGGGGGTAACTTCAGTCTCAGCTGCCAAGCAGTGCTAATCCATCCCCACCTGAGCTCAGAGACCATCACACAGTGCCTGGTAGTGCTCTAACTGAGGGTGGCATCACTGTTGGAGCCTTTGGGTCAGATGAGGGAGATGCTTTGGGCTCGTGGTGCTCCGCAGGTCCTGGTGATGCCTTCTGGAGATTTTGATGTCTCTAAGCTCCTGCATCCCTTCCCCCAGGGGCGACCACACGTTTGCTGACAGCTACATCACGGTGCTGCCGAAGGGGACGGAGTTCGTGGTGTTCAGCATCGACGGCTCCTTCGCAGCCAGCGTGTCCATCATGGGCAGCGACCCCAAAGTCCGCGCCGGGGCCGTGGACGTTGTAAGGTCAGCGCAGGGCCTGGGGCAGCTGATCTTTCACTGGCCTTGCTCTGCAATGCATTGACTCGTGGCTTTTCCTTCCAGGCACTGGCAAGACCTCGGCTACCTCATTATCTATGTCACGGGCCGCCCTGACATGCAGAAGCAGAGGGTGGTGGCGTGGTTAGCACAGCACAACTTCCCCCATGGGATCGTGTCCTTCTGCGATGGGCTGGTCCACGACCCGCTGCGGCACAAGGCCAACTTCCTCAAGTCCCTCATCACCGACGTAAGCCTGGCTCTGCTGAAATGGGATCGTGGCACGGGTTTAGATTGCTCCTTGTCCAACCACCACTGTCAGCAGCAGTCTCTTGGCAGCAATGTGACCTGGAGTGGAAGATTAATCTGTTCATTTTATTTTCGTCCTTTTATTGCTCTACAAAAGTGTCTATGCTGTTAAATTGTGTTGCCTCTGCTCTGCACTGCTCCATTTCATCACTGCTCCTCAAACCCCTAATGGAACAGAGGCAGTAGAGCCTCCCTTCCCCCACACGTGCACTTTTTTCACCTGCTTGGTGGCTTTTTGGCTGCCTGTGGTGGAGACAGCAGGACTGAGAGGGAATGGAGCTGCTGCAGAAATGGCTTTGCTGGGAGATTCCACAGAGATCTTCCAGGTGTTTGACCCTTGGGAGGTCCTGATGTTGCTCAGCCCAGAGGCTCAGAGAAGCTCCAGTTAGAACAAAGTTTTTTGTGTCTGGAGGTGAAGGAGCTGCCAGTGTCCCAAGCACTTGCCCTGCCTTGATTAGCAGGAAATCTTCTTAGGCTCCCTTTTTGGCCTGAGTGGCAGTGGAGGGAGCAGCTGGCCCTCAGTTGCTTTCTCGTCCTCCACAGGTTTGGGACCAGGGTCAGAAATTCTCTTTCCTCTCCCTGACCTGTGGTTCTGGGCTCAAAGCTGGCCAGTGTGTGGTGGCACCAATATCCACACGTCCCCTGCTCCAGCCCACTACAGAAGGGGTTGTCCAGGAGCTGCTCTCTGCTTGGAGTAGAGGCAGAGGTATCCCTGAAAAACAGCAGGCTTTGTCCCTTCTCCCTCTGCCCAGCAGGTAGCAGCAGCTTGGCTGTGGAGGGGAACATTCATGGCTAATGATTCCTGCACAGGTTTGCAGCTCCTCTCCCCTGGTGACAGCAGGGAAGTGTGCAGCAACCTTGCCCCCTGCAGAGCTCAAGGGAAGGCCGTGGATCAGCAAGTGGAGATCTGCTCTTGTATTGCTGTCACTCCTCTTGTCATGGCCTGTAAACATCCCCAGCTCTGTTAATTAGCACTTCCCTGAGTGGTTCGTTATCCAGCTGGGAACTTGCATTAGTTCCAGTGACCTGAGATTCCCACAAATGCTATTGGAAAACGGAAAGCCCAGCCTGTTGAGCAGCATGGGGTGCCCGTGTGTTCTGACCCCGTGTGTTGCTTTCTGTCCCCCCAGCTGCACATGAGGATCCACGCAGCGTATGGATCCACCAAGGACATCTCGGTGTACAGCTCCATCAGCCTCCCGCCCACGCACATCTACATCGTTGGCCGACCCACCAAGAAGCTGCAGAGCCAGTGCCAGGTAGGAGCCAACTTGGCTGAGCCCTGGAGCTGCTGCCAAGGGCCTCCCATGGGAGGGAGGTGGGAATTTGGTCATCACAAATGTGGTGACTGAGCTAGTGTTGGCCAACGGCGTGGGAACTGTCCCAGGCAGCAGGGCCACATAATGGGTGTGAGCGGTTCCATGGCTGGACACCCCAAAACCCGGCAGAGCGAACATACCTGGCTGCCTGTGGCTCTTGGGGAAACGTGTCCCACCCCCTAACGCCTGCCCTCACCCCACAGTTCATCACGGAGGGCTACGCCGCCCACCTGGCACAGCTGGAGTACAACCACCGCGCGCGCCCCGCCAAGAACACCACGCGCATGGCGCTGCGCAAGGGCAGCTTCGGGCTGCCCAGCCAGGCCGAGTTCCTGCGCAAGAGGAATCACCTGCTGCGCACCATCTCCTCCCAGCCCTCGGCCAGCGGCGCCGGCCACCGGCCCGAGCGCACCCAGAGCCAGTCGGACAGCGACAAGGACAGGGACAGGGAGCGCAGCCAAAGGAGCATGAGCATCGCCACGGGCTGCTGGGGCCGGAGCGCCGCGTCCCGCCTGGAGTCTGGCCTCTTGGGGCAGAAGTAGCCAGGCCAGAGCCAGGATTGTCAGCTGCAGCCACCAGAGGAGAAAATAAAAGGAAAGAGGGACGAGGCCAGTGTTTCGGGCTGGAAGGGTAAATATGGTGCTACTCTAATAACACGGTGTTCTGGGAGGAGACGGGATGGTTCCCACACAGAACGTGCAGGCCTTGCAGCGGGAGCGTCAGGTTTGTGCAGCGTGAGCCCAAGGAACAGCTGGAAATCGGGGGGGAAGTCTCCAGATCAGGACGGCGCTCTCTCCTGCCTCCTCCTCCTCTCTCTCATCCAGGGTCAGTGACTGTAAATACGTGCCTCCTCCTCGCCTTGTTAGCCATCGCTCCAACACGGTGACCGAGTGCTGTCCTCAGAGCCCCAGGAACAGGGCATGAGGCTGGGGGAGCTTGTTCTGGGCTGTCCCGGGAGTCAGACTGGGGGCTCCGGGGTTGGGTAATGCGCCGCTCCCCCGGCCCAGAGAGGGATTTGTCGTGGGCTGTGCCAGGCAGAGCGACCGAGGGCTTTTCCTGGACAGAGATCTCCACGTGCAGCCACGTTCTGGAGGAGCTGGTGCAGTGTAAAGCTCGAGGAGCTGGTGCAGTGCAAAGCTGAAGCTGCATCGATGCCATTGGCAGAAACAGAAATGTCGGCAGATTTGTGCCCAACACAGCGGGGTCATTATTGTTACTACTGTTATTTTTTAAAGAGACCTTTTAGAAGCTGATGGAATTTAATGTGTTGACCTATTAAAAGAGGAATACAAGCTATTTTGTTTGAGCTGTTACAAACCTCAGACACTTAATTTGCTGTTAAAGTCTCCAAATAGTCTCACTATGTATTATTTCCAACAAGTAACCACCATATATTTGGAAACAGCTGAAGGCACTCAGCAGCGGGATTGCATTGCAGTTCTTCTCATCCAAATGCAGGGTCTGACTCTCTCAACACCCACCTCTGAGACCTTTCTTCTTCCCAGGTTCTCTCCAAGTTCAGTAGCAGCTTTCATGGGAACTAGACTCGCTTCTTTTACCTATAGTTACTGAACTGTAAAACCTCATTGTTTTTTGCACTGATGATTTTTAGAATGGAAACCTGTTACCATCTCATGTAGCTACACCAGTGTTTGTAGTGCATGACAATGAAATATTGCTAAGCCAGGGTGTGTGTGGATATCTATACATATATACACACACACATATATATATATGTATATATTTAAAAAAACACAAACAATCTGTGCAGAAGTTTTTCCAGCAGTAAGGAGACTGTAAGGAAGTGTGCCAACAATGTCAGGCAACCTTAAGAAAAGGCCATATCTTAATTTTTCTGGTGTGTTTCTCAGTGGATGTGCCTGAGGCGCTGGGTTTGTGCTGCTGGAGCGAGCTGGCGGGCGCGTGGCAGAGGGCTGGCACCCCGGTGACACCCAGACAGGGACAGAGAACAGTGCCTGGAGCCAGGGCTTGCCAAAAAGCCCCTCAGTCCTGTCCCTCCCAGGGCCAGAAAAGGTTCTCTCCTTGCACACACCTCCTGGGGCGGAGGGACATCCACACAGGAGGTTCTGGAGTGCCCATTCACAGGCTCCAGTTGGCCTCTTCACATGGAGATTTTATAATCCTACCGAGCTCCCTGACTGTGTGTAAAGCTCCCTGCTTTCCCCACCACACTTTCCTGTCTTTATATCACTTTCTACTTACGAGGATCTTATTTATAACAGAGAATTTTTTAGACTGGCTGCTTCATTTTCTTACCAGTTTCAATAAGAACGGTGCAGGACGGCCGCACTGAGATCCACAGCACTGTGAACGCTGCTCTGCTCCCTGCCCCTGGGCCACGGCAGACAAATCCAACTCATCCAACTCATGTGTTCGTGGTGTGGAGGGTCCAGGCCGAGGCAGAGCAGGGACAGTGCGGAGCTGCCGCCGGCATCCGAGCCCCTGGAGCGCTCAGACCCGACTGCAAAACGTTTAACCACTTCTCTTTGGTAATTAGCCAATTACAGAATGTACCTGATGACTTTTTCTTACTGGAAACTGACTTCCCTTTCTGCTGACTCAGCTTGGCTCTCTCTGAATGTACATCCAGAGCTTTTACTGGGTTTGAAAACAATGCAAATTTGTCCCAGCTTTTTGCTAGCCGAATGTTCTATCAAACAGATGCCATCTGAGTAGGAAGCCAAGCCACAATCCATCCTGTGAAGTCACCAAACCACATCACTAAATAATTTCTGCAAATTTGGATATGGCCTTTGCAAAATTCACCTTTCCTCCAAATCCAGAACCGAGGCGTTACCTGTACATTTTCCAGTGTTGATGAGATGTTCACATTTTCTTATGTGTAGATAGTGTAAAACAGAGGCGAATGTAAATGTTCAACATAAAAAGTGGATATATAAAATTGAAAGTTATTTATTTATGTAGAGGGGAAAAAAATGTCTGGAGGGACTGGAACCTTCAGGGTTTATTAATATTTTAAAAATGTAGCTTTTTGTTTCAGGCATTATGTACAAAGCAATTATTTTATGGACCAAGTTTAATGTAACTGTCAATGAATGCAGAAGTGCAATATGATACTCACCCTCTCCATCACTTCATGTTTCCAACAGCTCCTAACCAGTTAGCCTGACAATCACAGCACCTCCGTCCTCATCCTTTGTCGAGCTTCTTGAACCTTTCCCTGGCCCCCCATCTGTTGCCATTGTACGGATCCAACACGGAGAAGCAATTGTAGAGCAGGACCTTTATTGCTGCAATAATACCCGGGGAGGTGGGTGTAGTCAACAGGAAATAATGCCAGTAAGTTTTTCTTCACCGACTCAGTCCATCCCCGTCTCCATCTCTCAATCCTCAGCCGCCCCCATCTGGCACTCATCCCTCTGAAGCAGAGGTCAACACTCACAGAACAATAGCAATAGTTTAACTCTGTGTTTATAACCTGTTTGTCCCGAGCTGTTTTGGAGAGCAATGCATGTGACCTGATGCCTTTCCACGTGTATGGAAGAGGATCCGTTTGGACGTGGTGAGGGAAAGATTGATGTATATTCCATCCTTACTGAAGGGGCACTGTCAGGGTAAAGACCTAACTTATCCTTGTTACGAGTAACTTGTTTGCTTTGAAAGGAGAGAATGGGAAGTTTCTTGTCCTCCCTCGGCCATTGTCTGGGCAGCCCTCGGTGACAGCCCACGTCCTGGTCTGCACATCAGCACAACACAGCCTCGGGCTTTGGGGTTGCTTTTCCGTTTCCATGGGAATCAAACTCTGCTGCGGAGCTCAGATTTTTTATGAAAAGCAGCTTTTTATATTACTGCACCCTTAGGCCAGACTTTCTACCTGATGCTGTCCCTTTAAAGTCTTTTAAAAAACCAGTGAGAGGAACCCGTGCATTCCCTCCGAGTCGTTTTCCTGTTTGCTCAGATCACTCAGTCAGATGAGGCGAAATCCTAATACCAAAAACCGTTTACAGTGTCGGGGGCACGAGCCCAGAGCAGGAATCAGCCAAAGGGTCACCACCACCCTCCCGCCCGCCCAGCAGCCGCCGTGCTTGCTGTAGCAGCCCCTTCTTCAGGTATCGCCACTGTTTGCTGCATTTCCTATTAGTTCTAGAAGCCTTACGGTCCCCTCCCTCTGCCTGTTGATACCCTCGACTGTCAATTTTATATTCCAACAATGTTAATTATATTTTATTTATAAAAAATTGCTCTAGGGGTACCAGCTGTGCGTGGGGAACCAGCGGGGGGATGCCCGAGGGCTCCGGCTCCGCCCCACCTGTGCAGTGCCGTGCCGATGACTCGCTTATGTGTGGCAAACCTTCTGTACAACTTCCTTCTCCTCCTTGCTGTTAGTGCATCGTTCCAATGCCTGGTGTGCTTTGTGTACAGTATCATTGTGAGTTACACAGATTAAAGAAATGGGAAGGCTCTTCTCTGTCTGCTTTTTTCTGGGGTGGAGGAATAATTCTAGAAATGGACAAGTCATAAAATGTGAGCAGGTGCCAGTTTAATTGGGTTACAGCCATGAACAGAACGTGGAAACCCTCCGTGGAGATCAGTCCTGCAGGACCCATTTAACCCATTTGTCCTTTTCTGTTTTACAGTTTGTAGGTGTTTGCTTCAGAGCAGCCCTGGGCCCAGGGAAGCCCAGAGCCCCAGTGCTGCCCGGGGCCTGTGCTGTGGGGAAGGGACACGAGTTGCATGCAGGAGCAGAGAGCAAGGCAAAGCCACCTCCCCACAAAGCACACCTGCACAGGTGCCAGTGCAGTGTGCCAGGTCAGTGCTCCCCTACCCAAGGAAGTGAAGCTGCAGGAAGGCTGAAGAAGCCCTGGGGCACAGTGGAGGGTGGCACTCAGGGGTGCAGAGGAGCTGCAGCCTAAGCAGAGCCACAGCCACTCCCCTCTGAGCAGGGTCAGCGAGTGCAAAGGGCCTGTGAGCCAGATCCAGCAGGGAAAGGGCCATGGGCAGCCCCTGAAGGGAAGAAGTGGCAGCCAGCTGTGTGTTTCGGGGCCCTGGTACACACCCTGTCCTGGCCACAGCACCATGAGGTGCTCAGCCCATCCCCTAGGTGCTGCTGAGCTCCTTCAACATCCAGAGGAGCATGGGGACAAATGGCTCAGATACTTTACAGCCATACTGGCCTGAGCTGGGACAGGGAGGGGAGAAGCTGTTTACTGGGAGATGAACCACTAAAGTCGCTCTCCTTCCCAGTCAGTAACTTACAGAGCAGCTGGAAAGGGCCCCTGGGGAACATCTTGACACGGTGCTGTCTGCGTGGTCCAGAGGCAGAGGCTCCCCTGGGCTGGCAGGGGCAGCAGGACGGGCTCCTGGGCTGGCTGGTGCCTGCCCTCACTGCAGCATCCCCGTCCTCACCTGGAAGGCCAGCCCATCCCCACGTGTGGCTTGCTGCAAGGGAGATACAGCACTCACAGCACTCCCTGCCGAGGGCTGCAGGACCACCAGCAACACCCCAGGGGCTCTGGCAGTGGTGCCAGGGCTCATCTTGTCCCCAGGGTAGAAACAAAACCCTTCTGGGTGCAGCAGCTCCCTGGCCGTGCCCAGCCACCCCGTGCAGCTCATGCTGGTGGGCAGTTCCCACTACCTTGTTAATCTCCTTGTGTCTCTCCTTGCTGACGATTTCTTCCAGGACTTCCCCGTCCCCCTTAATGAGCCTGCAAGACAAGCACAGGCCCAGGAGCCATGAGAGTACTGGCACGTTCCTGCAGTTGCAAGGGTGCTGACCCCCACCCCGAGGGCACCTGCTGTGCCCCAGCTCCCCCAAACCCAGGAGCAGGTGCTGGGCTGATGCACCTGAGGCAAGGCCAGTGCTGGCCTACCCCTGACATTGTATTTTGTGACTTTGTTTTTGTATCAGTTTTAAACTTTGCCATTGCTCCCATGGAATTAATGTCACCACACTGCAGCAAGGACAGGAGTGCTCCCTGAGAACTGAGGGCCAGCTGGCCCTGCCCCAGGCTGTGGGCACTGCCTGCTGTGTGCAGTCAGTCACACTGGCACAGGAAAACACTCCTAATAAAAGTATCCCCTGTCACCCTACAATCCACAGTGCCCCAACCCATGCAAAACCTCTTCTTTTTTTTTATAGCATTCAGGTGTGGTCCTGGCTGCCCCAGGAAACTGCAAAGACATTCAGGAACAGGAGCCAGTTTGGGCCTGAAATGCAGCCAGGCCAGGGAGCATCTTGCTGAGCAAATTCCAAGCAGTGTCGGAGGCGGCTCACACCTCCAAACATGAACAGGAATTTAATTGTCTTCATTATGTGCCTTACAGGGAACCAACCTTTGTTCCACACCTCCCTGAGCCCTGCAGGCTGCCTTCTATTTTAAGACTGGACTTGTCATACCCAATTCTCTTCAGCATGACATTTTCTGCTTGCTGAGAAGATGCAGTTTATTAAAAACTGGGTCATTTCTATTTGGCAGCTAAATGAACTTGGGTTTGATTGCTGTCTGTAACCCCACAGGGCACATGCTCCTCATTCCCACCTGGGTATTAACCAGGGCCCAGGGCTTTGGAGCTGAAAGGTAAGTGGATGCAGCAATGGGATACTGGAACACAGCCCAGTGTCCCTTGTGTGGAGCCCCAGCACAATTCAGTGACTTGGTGTCATTGTGTCACTTTCTGGGTAAGTCACACCAGGCCTGATGAGGGGGGACCTGTGAGGGGTCGGCTCAGGCCTTTGCTGCTGAAGGGAGGCTGGGTCCAGGATGGTGCTGCAGTGCCATGGACAGGCATCCTCCAGGCCTCCAGCCCACTCAGCATGGATGGGAAGGGACAGCCCATCTCCCTCCTCCCCAGGGCCATACCTGGTTCTCCCTGTTTCGGGATCCACCACTCTCCTGATGACGCTCTGCCTCGCGTCCCACTCCTCCTTTGTCATTGGCTTCATAGCCTGGATCCGGGATTTCTGTTCATCTGTCAGAACTGGAATGCAGTGCTCAGTCAGAGCTGTGCTCCAGGGGAGGGGCACAGCACCAGGGCTTCGGCTCACAGACAACATTCCACACCCCTTTCCTGGCAGTACTCAGGGTACAGTGACAAACCACGCAAAGAAAGGGCACTTCACATCCCAAAGCCAGGACATTAGTGCTGACTATGGCCTTCCATTTGGCATCTTTGTTCCCAACTCACATCTATAAACTACATCCTAACACTTTACAAATCAATCTCTGAGTGTGGCTCAAAGGTGGGCACAGTACGTAGGAGGGAGGAGAGCCTGGGGCTCCTCCCTGTGCACAGCCCAGCTTCCCTCAGACACCCTGCATGGAAAGGGACCAGCACAGCTCCTGTGTGCACAGACTCCAGCAGGAGGGAAAGTGCATCATTACCTGGCCCAGGATCCACCCCTGATTCCTTCTGCCATTGCTCCAGTGAGGGGCCAGGCACCTCTTCTCCCTTGGCTTTCTCCTCCTTAGCCCTCTCCTTTGTCTTCTTTTTTGATTTCTTCTTTATTTTTTTCTTCTGCTTCTTCCTCTTCTTTTTGTCTTTTTGTTTCATTCGCTTTTTCTTGCTGTCTTGACTCTTCTTCATTTTGGAGTCACTGTCACTGGAATCATCAGAAGAGGAGCTAGAGGAAGAGGAAGATGAGGAAGAGCTGGTGGATGAAGAATTCCCAGAAGAAGAGGTACTTGCCTTCCTCTTCTTTTTGTCCTTTCCTTCCTTCTTCTTTTCTGCAATGCACAAGAAGAGGGTGAGTGGAGCAGCTGTGGCCCTGCAGTAGCAGAGATGTTGCTTTATCCCCCTCCCAGTCTGGTTTCTTTCCTGCCTGGAATCCCCCTCTGTGCCCAGTTCAACCCAGGAACTGTGGGTTCCTCTGTGGTACTAGGTCCATCTCTGCACTTGTCAGAACAAGACCAAAGGGGGCATAAAGTACAGGACAAGGTGACAGACACCAACTAAAACCAGGGACCCTCTTCTCTCCCCTGGGCCCTCTGTGCACCTGCCCCAAATGTGGTGGAAATGTGGTGAGAACACAAGCTCAGGGGCCTTCCCCCACCTTCCCTGGCTGTTGCCAAGCTTGACTTGTGTCCATGAGAGCCAGAGATCCTCTTCCTTGGTGGAGAGCTGCTGCCTCGCTGTGAGTCCTTGCTGCTCTTCCTCCTTTTCTTCTCCTTCCTCTCATGCCTGCTCCGGGAATTGCTTTTGCTCCTGCTCCGCGATCGCTTCCGAGAGCGGCTGTGGGCCATGGCAGCTCCTGCAGGGAAGGGGTCACATCAGAGCCATGGGGGACCAACCCTGCCCAGCAGCCCCAAAATCCTTCAGTCTGAGCCAACAGCCCTGGAAAAGCTGCTCCTGTTGAACTCCCTCCCTGCTCACATGCACTCTGCCCATCTCCCATCACAGTCGTGGCCACGTGGAATTTCACCAACCCCCAGCGTGCAGCCCTGGCAGGGAGCTGGCACAGGGACAGCACTGCCATCCCCAGGCAGCCTTCACCTGCCTCAGACAACTGTCCCCAATCAGGTTTTCCACATGGAAAACCTTCCAGCAGGTTTCCCACTGTGGGCAAGCACAGAAGGGCCTGGGGCTGTTCCTGCAGCAGTGCTGTGCCCATGGTCACTCCATCAGGAGATGCTGCACCACAGATGGACACAGGCAGAGTGTGATGGATACTGCAGCCACACTCAGCAGAACAAAACGTCCTCCCAGAGTCAATCACCCACTTAAAATGCTGAGAGCAGCCACAAGCCAAGGGGAAGAATGAATTTTTAATATTCCAATTTACTCTTAGAAAACAGATGATGCATGGAGCTGGCACCCCTGTCCATCAGCCCCAGGGATGCCGGCGGCCCCAGACCGGTGTGATCCATGCTCTCATTAATTTAAAAAAACTAACTGGCACCGTGGGCAGAGCAGGAGCTGGGAAATGCTTTCTCACAGCCACCTTCCAAGTACCACATTAATTAATTGTTTACCACCTCGACTTTCCCAGGCAGCAATTTGGATTTGCTCCCAAGTGAATCAGACTTTTGATTGATTTCCATAAGGAAATTTCAATCAGAAAAAAAAGAAACAACAAACCAAAACCAATCACAACCATTATGGGCACACAGGGAAGTTTCAGAGGATGAGAGTCCTCCATGCACACACACCCAGCAGCTGCCCCTTGCACCAGGGCCGTGCTGGGGACAGGTCTGGGACTCGGATCGTTCTATTCTGGTTGTGGCAGCAGGGAAAAAACCTTTTATACATCCACAGCAGCAGGATCAATGGATCTGGAGCTAGGTTCAGCCAGCAGCATCCCGGTGACGAATCCCAAACCCATCCCAGGCTGGCTGTGCCCCAAGCCGGGCTCTCACCTCCACCCTGACATAGGCTGGGCCCACAGCGACTCCTCCTGCCCACACAGCTCTGCCAGGCCCGGCCCCGCCCGGCGCTGCTCTGCCCTGGGCAGCTGCAGGGGCTGTCCCTGCCCTCACCTCCAGCACGGGCAGCCTGCGGCATGCGATGTGTGCTGGCCCTTTAAGAGCTCAGCACGAGGTGCGCTGGCCCTTTAAGAGCTCAGCAGGACGCGTTCTGCGCGCGCGGCCCCTTTAAGTGCGCCGCTCTTTATCAGCCCCCGCCGGCCCCGGGGCCGCCGCAGCGCTCCCGCCTGTGCTTCCCTCTTTCCCCGGTGCCCTCAGCCGGCCCGGCCCGGTCCCGCCGCAGGCAGGAGGCGCGAGGGTGAGCGGGACTCACCGGGCCGGTCCCGCCGCCCCGAGCGGGGCTCCCGCCGCCGGGGCCGCGCTGGCCGCCTCCCGCCTCCGTCCGCCGCGCGTGGGGCCGGGCGGCAGCCGGACCGCGCTCTTTGGTTCCGGGGGCCGCCCCGTAGCTCAGTTTCTGGGCTGAATTCGGGCAGATTGGGAGCGCTCACGTTCGCCAGTGAACGAGATAAAGGCTTCGAGACTGCGTTTCTTGGTAGTGGCTCCTGCTCAGATACAACCGCCGGTTTCCTTCCCCCGGTGTAATTTTAATGAGCTTTACTAATGAGAAGCTCATCAGCACTCCATGCTCATGACAGCCCCAGCCAAAACCCAGCGGGTCCGCTGGGACAGCTGCAATGAACACCTTTTGTGCGAGCTGCACCCGCCTTCAGCCCTTCACAATTACCGATGTGATCACCAATGTGCTGTAATTACTGCACTGAACAGATCAATGGAAAAGCCCCTTATCAATTCAGCACCATCTATCGAATAGACCGAGTTAATTTTCCACGGAGGCAAATGCAGACACCAAGACTTCTTTAATTTGTTTAGTAGGTGGAAGAGTCACATGCTTTCAGCCAGCTGGAATAAAGGAGGGGAGAGCACTTGACCCTTCCAATCCATCAGTTTCTGGGGGATGTTGGTGCCAAACTAAGAAGCCCCAGGCCTGCTGCTGCATTCAGGTAGGCAGAGTTATTTTATATTTTCACTTCTCATGTAACTAAAGCAAAGGGAGTTAAATGTACATCTTGTCCTCCTCTGGGAAGTTTTGCTGTGCTGCAGGTGGTTCCCAGAGCTCTGGCTCTGCTTAATAAGGTTCACAAAAACTTTGAAAGGAAAGTTTCTGCTCTCAAGAAGCCTCAGGAGAACTCTCAGCCACCCTGGGGGATCAGTGCTCCCTGTACTGCTCCTGGTGGATTTTTCTGAGCCTGGGTTAGACAAACATCCAGTGATGATAACTCCCTGCCATTCCCTGCAGCTCACTGTGAATCACCTGGATCTCATTCCTGAGCAGATCCTTCCTGGCCACTCAGCAACACAGAGCTCTTCCCCTGTCCCTGGCAGAGGACAGGAGGCCCCAAGAACAGCAGAGAAATTGTTTCTTGTACCGTTCTTCCCCATTTCCAATGGGACCTGGACTACTGCTGCTGGCAGAGAAGCCAAGGAGCTTTGGGTGTTTTCCTTGTGCACTTTGAAATGTTGACAGAGCTCCTGCAGGGAATCACAGTTGGGGTTTCTGTGTCTTAGAGTATCTTCCAGCCCCACCTGAGCCCTCAGGAGCCGAGTTCCAGCTTTTCCAGCTGGAATCCTGGCAAGGCTGGCTTTGCATCCCTTCCCAAGGTGAGAACTGCTCCTTACAAGGACTCGTGCACCCAGCAGAGCCTGTGAGTGCAGCCTGGGAGGTCAGAAAGGAACTTTGGGCAACTCGCTGTGGGAAAATCACCACCCCTGCTACCCCAAGGCACAGAGATTCACGGTGTGGGGTTCTGTGAAGCCATCCCCAAAGCCCTCGGCCTCCACCAGCTCGGGTTTCCTGTGGCACATGGGGCACAGCTGGTTTCGGATGGCCGATGACCTCATCCACACGATGAGGTTCCAGCGCTGCCCCGAGGCGATGGGCAGGGCCCCGTGGATCTGCCCCCCTCGGTGCAGCAGCCCGTGGCCTCCCACGTGCTCCACCTCGATGTACTTCGGCACGGGGCTGGGATCCTGCAACAGCGGGAGGGGGATGTGCTGTCACAGCAGTGCCTCAAATGGTTGAAATTTGTCACCTCTTCCCCCACAGCACCCAGGGCGAGCAACATGGAGAGGGCAAACTGCACCTCATTCAGAGAGAATTTAGAGATTCAATTTAAAAAAAAGTTTCACTGCTGTATAGCAGCTTCTACCCCACTCTTGCCCTAAAAACAGGTGCTGGAGATTTATGTTGAAGTTACATCTGAAATAAATCTCTCCCTCATCATCTCCCTGCTCAGAGTTTCAGATGTGCAAAGAGGGGATGGCTTGTTTCACTCCAGTTTCTACTGCAAAGCTGCATCTGTTCTCTCTTTAAAATACTGAATATTGGTATTGGAAATTGGAATATTACAAAAGGGGCAAAAGAGGCTCCTGTATAACCAAGCCATGTGAAAAATGGGGAAGGAACAGAGCAGTTTGACAGTTTGACTGTCAGAAGTGAATAATTGTTTTTTAGTACACGGTGAATGCTTTGAAGCTGAGGGGTGAGGAGGGAGAGGTGAGTGGGATATGCTCGGTACCTGGTTGAAATCCCCGAAGTACAAGCTTCCTTCTGTGAATTCCTTTCCCAGGGAAACGTTCAGGGTGACTTCAGCGTTGTCATAGTGAGAGCTCAGGTCCAGGTCCTCGTGCAGGGAGTACTTGACCACAAAAGCTTTGTGGCTGTCCAGGCAGGCCCCGCCCAGCTCCGGGTACAGCAGGGCCGTGATGGGCAGGAGCCGCTCCCGCAGCGGCGTCAGGAAAGGCTCGTCCATGCCCAGCTCGTTCAGCAAAACCTGAGGACACGAGGGGGGACAGCTCAGCAGCTGCTGCTCCTCAGAGCTGCTGTTCTCCTCCAGCCCTGCTGCTGGCTCAGATCAAGGACTTTAGAGCAAGGGCTCCAGCTACAGGGAAAAGGAAGGAGGATCAAGCTGGACAGTGATGGGGGAAACACAGAGTAATAAGACCAAAACCTGTCTCCTTGATTTAAATTTGTATTGCTTAAGCACAAGGAGCTCTTTGCTCTGAGATACCAACTCCCTCCCCTTCCCCTGCATTCCCACTTTCTTCTGTCCCTGTAACATTCCCTCAGCTCTCACTCCAAGGGGCACTGAACTCAAACTGCACAGTGTAAAATGAGACTCTGGAAATGGAGGGAGTGAGGAGGTGAGCACAGTGAACACTGCCCCTGAGGAAGTACAAGAGATGAGTCCTACCCCGTAGTTGTTCATGGTGTTGGGCCTGCCTTTAGGCATATCTGACTGCTCAAAGTTCTCCAGCTCATCCACAAAGGCCTGGCAGAATTCCTCTGTGAACACTGGCAGTCGATAGATCCTCTTATCTGTCAGGAGAGGGGAGACAGAGTTTGCTGGGGAAATTCCCCAGTTTTCCTGGCTGCCTGTCCAGCTGCACTGTGCTGGTGTCAGTGAGAGCACAGCACTCACAGGCTCCACTTTGTGCTGGGACCATTTCCTGGGATCAGCTCTGGGGTGTATTTGTTGTTTTTCACGCTGGTCCCTCATTTGCAGAGCAGAAGGCTGTGTCTGGAACCGGTGCCCTGGATAAATCCAGGAGCTCTGCACACAGACATTGGTGTCTTTTGCCTTGAGCAAAGGAGGCAACTCTGCCTCTTCCCCTCTGCATCTTGGCAGCATTTCTGGTAGGCAGAGAGCTTCACAGCTGCCTCCAGGGAAGCTGAAAACCCAGATCTGTTTTTCAAAGACTGAAAGTTAGACTGAAGCTGTTTCAGCCCAGACTAACCAACAGGGACTGTCTGTAATGGCAAAACA